CACCCCCGAGCAGGGACAGCTCAGGCAGCTTCAGGGTGGGTTCTATTCTGTTTCCTGCCATGTGTAAACGCTCTGCTGTGGGCACTGCTGCTGAGCTGAAGAGGACGGTTTAGTCTCTATAGCCCACGATTTCCCAACCTATGGGTCGGGACCCAAGTATGGGTCACCATTCCATTTCAAAAGGGTCGCCAAGTGTCTCCTGGGTGGCTCTTCCCTCCCTCCCCCCGTTTTTGAGTTGCCTTGGGTCACCAAGTCTTCCTGAATTGACAAAATTGGTCCCCATCTGGAAAAGGTTAGGAACCGCTGGTCTAGTATGTCAACCACAGGCCTGAGAATCAAGACCAGAGAGTTCTAAGTTCAGCTCTCATAACGGACTCCAACAAGTTGGTTACCTGCTCTGCATCTTTGACCTTGTCTGTAAAATAGAGATAATATATACGTTGATCTACCTCCCTGTAGAAGTGGGTGATTAATGGATGTTTTGATTATCTGGCAATTGATTTGATTCTCTGGGGAGAAAACATCATTTTGGACTCAACCAAACCTAAAATTTTAGGCAAATCAAAAAGTTTTTTAAACAATTTCATTTAATGTCATATAATTAAACTTATATGAACTTTTGAAACACAAAGCCCTTTCAAATTAAAAAATTGAAGTATTTTTGACAATGTCAGAATGAAATATTTTGATTTTTTTTCTTTTTGTAGACTTACTATACTGAAACTATTTGGTAATATTAACAGACATTCATAAAATATGTTGGTGTCAGAGAACCTGCATTTTTCACTGGAGGGGAAAAAAAAGAGTTTCAGTCAAAAGATTTTATCCAACTCTACCTCCCAAGTAAATTAGGAGGGTTAATTACATATTGTTTATAAGGTGCTTTGAAAATGTGAGCACTAAATGCCTGTAAAATACAATAATATTAAATGAAGATGTTGACTGTAGTGAATATCTTATTCAAACAACATCCCTTTTTATCATATCAGGCTAATATTGTAAGTGTACTTCAGATTAATGAAGATCATTTCACTTGCAACTAATTAGCATCAAAGTATGGCCCAGCAAATGAGTCTTTGAATAAGGCTTTGCATTCTGTTTCTGCCCTGACTTCTGCGTGATCTGGGACAAACCACCTTACCCTTCTTTGCCCATCTGTAAAATGGGAATAATAATACTTGCCTCTCATATAAAGTGCTTTGAGATTGATGAAGTGCTAGACAAAAGATAGCATTATATTCTGACTTTTCTCACAGGTTTTTAAGTTAACTTGTATACAGCGCAAGTTTTCCTTTATTCTCTAAATGAGGGCACATTTTTTAAGTACAAGTCATTTTCATCAGATATTTTACATTCTTTACAGTTCTGCCGCCTGTGTGCTCACCTAATTGTTCTAGTAACGCCGTCTGCAAAGAAAACAACATGTGTCAGTGTAAGCCATTTTATGAAGGAGATGGAATCACATGTACAGGTGAATTCATGTACAGCTGTCCCACACCTCAAGTGTTCTGTGTAGCGCAAAAATTTCTCTCTTCTACTGGCAGGTGTTGGTCCAGTAAAAGATATTAACTCACCCATCTTGTCTCTCCCCAAATGTTAAAGGCAAATATTGTTTTCACCTAGGTATTCACTTTAATATACGTAATTAACCAGGGTGAAACACTAACTATTAAAGAGATGCCTGAACCAAAACTTCTGATGTAGAGACTCAGAGGAGAGAAATGGAAACAATTAAAGCCTAGTTACAGATTTTTTTTTCTCATGAGTGTGAGGTCAATTCATGGTTGCATCCATTCTAAGGCTGTGTCTACACTACCAAGTTCTGTTGACAATACTTATGTTGGCACCCAAAAGTTGATAAAACACAAATCACCCGAGAGTGTCTACACACTCGCTCCATCTGTCGACAGATCATGTCCATGCTGGGGACACCATCATCCATAGTGTGAGCAATGCACTACGGGTGTGTATCCCACAGTGCAGTCTTATGAAAAGGCAGGGCTGATCTCTCCAAGTTCTCCCAAGCCTTTAGCTGCTGGGAGTGACATTATGGCTACGTCTAGACTGGCATGATTTTCTGCAAATGCTTTTAACGGAAAACTTTTCAGTTAAAAGCATTTGCGGAAAAGAGCGTCTAGATTGGCACAGATGCTTTTCTGCAAAAGCACTTTTTGCGGAAAAGCATCCGTGACAATCTAGATGCGCTTTTGCGCAAAAAAGCCCCAATCGCCATTTTCTCGATCGGGGCTTTTTTGCGCAAAACAAACCTGAGCTGTCTACACTGGCCCTTTTGTGCAAAAGCTTTGCGCAAAAGGACTTTTGCCTGAACAGGAGCAGCATAGCATTTCCACAAGAAGCACTGATTTCAGACAGTAGGAAGTCAGTGTTCTTGCAGAAATTCAAGCGGCCAGGGTAGACAGCTGGCAAGTTTTTCCGCAAAAGCAGTTGCTTTTGCGGAAAAACGTGCCCGTCTGGACACAGCCTATGAGTATCTGTGTGAGCTCTCTGTGCTGAGGAACGTTAAATCATCACAGCAGTCTGTCCTCCTCTCCTTGTAGCAGCAGTCTGCCTGCTGCTGTGTTCCTAGTGCAGGGCAGAACAGGAGCATTCCAGTGATTTGCTCTTTGTCTGTTCCCCAAAGGAAGCAGCTCACTCAGCTGTCAGATACAGTTATGAAAGGGGAGGGGCACATGCCAGCAGGAGCTAGTGCCATTGTGAGGTACAGATTATGTGTGGCCCTGGCCTCTGGAAAAACTGCCACTCTTGGGGACAGTTTTGATGGGTTTGAGAGCAAAAGGGACTTGCCCTACTGCCCTCTGGGACAATGCAGAGGAATCTATAATCTTCATGGAGGTTTCCTTGCAAACATTCCCTTGCTGCAGCAGGCAGGGATGGTCTGGGCCAGTTCTAATATTTTATATTAGGGATGTGCCCAAGCTCCTAACAAGGACTGGGCCCCCCTTTTGTGAACGACTCTCCACAAATAGAGATTAGCTGAAGGAAACACTAACTTACCTCTTTTCTCTTTGCTTTGTAGCTGTGAATCTTTGTAAACAAAATAATGGCGGGTGTCACCAGAATTCAAAATGTACCCAAACGGGGGTGAAAGTCCTGTGCAGCTGCCAGAAGGGATACACAGGAGATGGTCGCACCTGCTTTCCTATAAATCCCTGCGCCGACGGGCTTAATGGTGGTTGCCATGAACATGCCATTTGTACAATGACAGGACCTGTAAGTTGTTGGGGATGGAGATGGGTTTTGTCTTGGAAATCCTCTCTAGATGCACAATTCACCTCCTAATGGAGTTAACAGGGATCTTTCCAGTGACATAAGTGAGGGCTGGCCCAGACCACACCTGACTTTGACACACATAATTCATTAGTCCCTGTCTCTTTGCCACATCATTTTGCTGTCCAGTCAGCTTCTTGGTGGACCCTCTTTACTTTAGAAATGCAGGATCATGAAGCTGAGGTAATTTCCACTACAGGAATGGATCTCACAGCATGTTCAAGATTTCTGCATGCATATTTTGGTAGCCCTCATGCTGAGTTTGGGCCTTGGCAGGTTGAAATGAAGAAGATGCCAAAAGGAGACATGTAAATAGTCCTACCACTAAATCCCACTGCTCAGTCTGTTTCAATCAGTGGACTGTTACATTCTTTTCATAGTTCCATTTGTATTTATTTAATATTATTTTGAGTGGCTAGCATGTATATTTATTATTATAATGCTTCAAATCATATTCTTAGTGGCTTAGTTCAGCAAAACACATAAGTACATACTTGAGTGTTTTGCTCAGTGAGAACTCTAGGAGGTGTGTAAAGTGTTTTATTGACTCTCAGCTTTTGCTAGTGGCGTTTGAGCAAATGAACATTGTGTTGTTGCTAGATTCGGCCGATGGGTCACTTCTACCTGTTTAGCAGATGCTATTTTACGTTGTTGTTTTTATGTTTGGAAAACATTCTCTTGGGACTTTCTTATTCTCTCTCCTACCAGGATAAACGCAAATGTGAATGTAAAAATAACTACGTAGGGGATGGGCTTGACTGCACTGTGATGCAGCTTCCGATTGACCGTTGTTTGCAAGACAATGGGCAGTGCCATGCCGATGCTGACTGTGCCGATCTCCACTTCCAGGGTCAGTACGCCAGATAAACTCAGAAGTAGTGTGGTATAAAGAGCAAAGGCTAGGCTCCTTCAATGGGATCCATCCAGGTGGACTCCTGTGCCCATGTCAAGTCTCACTGAAGTCAAGGCAGTACTGCCCAGATGCTTACTATGCAGTAGTTTCGCCCCATGGAGCAGTCCATCCCTATTCAGCAAATCACTTAAGCACATGTTTAAGGGTTGTTGAAGTAAGGGGACTTACGCACATGCTTAAAGTTTAACGTTTTGTGAGTTGGGAACCTTTGAAAGCAAGAGATTAAAATGATTCCACATGGAAATATTACCCCACAAGTGGCTTGTTACATACCAGCTACATTCCATGGAAATTCCTCAAGGATTGTTCAATCTATTACAGAACCATGTGCTTTATGCCCAGATGGTTAAAACGCTTACATCCCTAGCATTAAGTTATTTATTGTTTACTTACAGATGCTACAGTTGGAGTTTTCCATTGGCGTTCCCCCCAGGGGCAATACAAACTGACTTTTGAAAAAGCAAAAGAGGCCTGCGACAGTCAAGGAGCAACCATAGCTACTTACAATCAGCTGTCCTATGCTCAGAAGGTGACATAGTGTTAAATGGCAGTGCCAAAGGACTCAGTTTGTGTACTGTATTTAGTGGCTGCACAAGGGTGAAATGGAACTGTGAGACGTAGCTGTCTGAAAGTTGAGTGCCTCGGGAAATAGTTATATTCTCAGGAGTGCAACTTCTGAGCTCTATGAGTAGGCATGGTGGCATTCATTTTTTTATTATTATTATTTCAATAGATTGTCTCTGTTTATTTTTAAGTGTTTTTAGATTTTTATTGATTTAAATTTTCACATTTATACAAATGTATGGGGTTTAAAAAGTTTTTAGCTATTTAAATGTTCACACTTATGGGGAATTATTGGGGGAGGAGCCAGATAATTATTTGATTACAGCAGATGTTGAGATCCAAAAAGTTAGCTTTATAACCATCAAAACACAAAATTGCCAATCTCACATGTCAAAACATGCAAATATCCCAAACTGAACAAATCACACCAGTTTTTATTATTCTTTCACTAGTCCATTTGTAACAAGCTCAATTCGTAAGTCTAAATTGCTGGATTTTGACTAAGTTCTCAAGCAGCATTTTTCTTTCTTTGCCCATCTATAAATTTCATTTATCATCAGTAGAAATAGTTTTCATTGGTTTTTGTGTGTACAGTGGAATTTACATTAACTGACATTTACCAATAAAAATCTAATCTTTCCAAGCCTATCTGTGAAGCAAGTTCCTCTCTTGAGTACAGGCATATAACACACATTGACTTCTAATAGGAATTATATGTGCACTTGTGAAGGCAAGATTTAGTCTTGTATTTGGACGCTGAAAACCAACATTGGAAATCAAAATGGGGGAGGGGGTTGGCCAAGGTCTTAAATATACAGTAGGACAGTAATTCCCCTGTATAAATATCACTGTAATTATAGTAAATGAATCAAAATGTTTAAAATTGTAAACTGCTTGAAAAACTTTACTTATCTTTTTTTCTTCTATCCAACCTTCATTTCCAAGTCAAGCAGCTAGCTGGTGTTAAAATTCTTATCTGTCAATATTAAACAGCTGCTTAAGACCTGGCAATACCAGCAAGGAAAAAAAGTGTGTGCTGTACTAACTTTGTACCTGATTCTACTTCCACTAAAATCAAATTAAAATGAGCAAAATTGTCATTGTGTTTAGTGGTAGCAGAGCAAGATTCTTTAGAAGCCAAATTTTAGATTTTTATTACAAATTTTAGTTACACTCCTTTTTAAAGGACCTTGCTCTTATAGAACTTTTTTCTTTAAACAAGGCTTTGGGGGTTTTTTCTGGCTGGTGTAAGTCTAGGATAACCCTTTGATTATTGCTTATGCTAAACAGGTTCTAAATTATATAGGGTTGAAGCCAATAAGAGTTTTGCCATTGTCTTTAATTGTGGCCAAGATTTCATCCTGGAATTGTAAAACTAGTTTTAAATGGGCGGTCAGACTGATTGTATCCCAAATTACTTGACTGTTTACTCCTGACTCGTTCCTACTCAGAGTTCAAAATGTAGTGATGATGCCCATTATTTAAGAGGACAAGGAATACTGGTAAAATGAAAGTCTGGAGTGTGTGTAGTGCAGAAACTTTTTACTTGGGCAAGTAGAGCGGTCAGAACCAAACCCAAGGATACAGATTCCTCTGGACTTTGGGCACATTCTGCTTTGGATCTAAACAATGCAATTCAGGCTTGTCTTTAATGTAGATATTTCTCTGAGTCAGAAAATCCAGCAATAACGTTAGCTTTGAGTTTGCTGAATATTATTATTCACATGTAACTGAACTTGTCAGTTCTTCTGGGTGGATAAAGAGTCCCTTGCATTCCTATTTGTTTGGTTTTTCCACACAAAAGCCACCCAACTGCTGTTGAGCCCTCTTTCTGCCCTGCTCCTGCACTGAACTCTGAGTAGACAGACCCCCTACACTTGGGATGCCACACACAGGAGCACAGTCAGTGCAGGTCTGGGCTGAGCTGACCTTCACCCTGTGCAGAGAGCAAGGGCACCATTTCAGGAGGGCTGGGGGGGCAGCAGCCGTGCTCTCCAGGACACAACTTGCTTCTCATCCCTTTCCCTGGACACTAAGGGAGTGAGGGGAACATACTTGCATTCCATGCATGCCTCTTACGTCTGGCTGATGAAGGGAATCAGGTGTAAAAGGCATGCATGGAATGCAAGTACGTTCCCCTCACTCCTTGATAGTCCAGGGAACGGGATGAAAAGCAAGCCACATCCCGGAGCAGGGGCTGCTGGCCCCCGAAATGGCGCCCTTGGCAGAGAGACCACACAAAGCCAATACATGGCTTAAGCCTTCAAAACAGGATTTAAGGAAGACTTCTGTGGCATGTAGGCATTATGTTGGCCCTCTGTGGTTGGGTGAGTTTCAGTCACAGTGCATTAGACGAGCTACAGTTCTGTTTCTTCTGTGCTTTACAATGAACGTGTTGGTTACAGGCAAGATACCACTTCTGTGCTGCTGGCTGGTTAGACGGTGAAAGAGTTGGTTATCCAACTGCCTTCCCTTCTCCAAATTGTGGATCAGGATTTGTTGGAATAGTTGACTATGGGGTCAGAAACAACCTGAGTGAAACCTGGGATGTCTTCTGCTTCAGAATCAAAGGTAATGGAGTGTCTACATCTAAGGTGGTTTGGTTCAAAAGACGGCATGATAATTCATTCCAATAATCTCCCTTAAGTTTAGAGACCAGCTCATAGTATTGGCAACAGGTTCTCTTTCTAAACTAGAGGAAATTTCCTTAGACTGTCAAATTATTTCTCTTCAGAGCAGCAGAAAACCATCTCCTAGAACGAACCATTCCTTCTTGGCTTGTTATCTAATAGGCATGTGTTTGTATTTTACAGATGTGAACTGCACGTGTAAGCCTGGCTATATAGGTAATGGCTTCACATGTAGCGGGAACTTGCTACAGGTCCTGATGTCTTTCCCCATGTTTACAAACTTCTTGTCGGTATGGACTAAAGAAGAAATGCATTTTTCTGACATACAAACTAAACCAAATGTTATTGTCTAGCCCGGGGGCAGGTGGGGAGGGGGAATCATTTTTAATGGGAGGCCACTCCAAGATTTTGGCAAGTGGTCAAGGAGTACACTTCTATGAGGGGCTGAGGGGTATGGGATAGAGGTTGGGTGCAGAAGGGATCTTGAGGTAGGGGACTGGGGTGTGGGGTCTGAGAGGGAGTTTGGATGAAGGAGGAGGCTGTGATCTGGGGCAGGGGTTTGGGGTGCAGGGTCAAGAGAGAGTAAAGATGCAGGAGAGGATTCTGGCATGGGGAATGGGTGCAGGGTCTGGGAGGGAGATGTACCTGAGAGAAAGGAAAAAAGGGCACAGAGGTTTTGGGTGATGGTCTGGGGCAGGTAATTGGGGGGAAAGGGGGTGAGAAGCCAGAGGCAGGCTCCCTTACCTAAGCAGCTCCCAGCCAGCAGCCCTGCAGAAAGAAACCTGAGGCAGGCTCCCTGCCTTTCAGCTGAGGGAGGAAGACTTCACATGCTGCCCTGCTCCAGCAAAATGTCTCAGCTCCTATTTTAGATGGAAACTGGCCAATGGGAGCTGAGACATTTTGCTGGAGGGGAGCAACATGCGAAGCCTCCCTTCTCCCTCCCCAGCCGTCCAGAGCAGAGAGCTGCTACTATGTAAAGCAAGAGCTGCTCTCTGCCCAAGGGTTCTGGTGAGGTAGCCACAGGCCAGATCTGGTGGCTCGGTGGGCTGGATCCAGTTCTCTGGCAGCCTCTTGCCTACCCCGGCCTAGCAAATACCCCGAACATATTCATTTACATGTAAATGTTTACCTTATTAGCCCATTCCCCTCACTCTGAATCAGACACATGTCTGGGTAACCTCACTCTTCTCTTACTGGATGAGAAAGTAAATATGAGTGTGAGAATAATGCAGCATAAAAGCAGGGTGGAGGCATTTCAATCATAGCTTTAAAAATGGTTGTGGCTTTGTAAAAATAAACTGAAAATGCATGCTGTTGTACAGTTTAGATTGAATTAATATACGTGAATGGTAGGGTTTGGTATGGGTGTTTGTTTTTTTTAATTCCACAACTGGTAGAATATTGTATTTGAATTTTACCACACTGCTAGAGGCAAAAGGCAGAAAAAACCCTTTAGGGTAAGGTCCGGCCTTAAATCTCAAACAGTAAGGCACGTATGTAACTTGGCTCACATGAATAGTCTCATTAACTACAATGGGTCTATTCATGTGCTTAAAAGTTGAACCTGTGCATAAGCATTTGCTGCATCAAAAGCTAAAATTGTGTTCTTAATAAAAACTTCTCTTTAAGGGTATATCTGCACTGGAGCTAATTTCAAACTGAGGAAGGCATATCATACTTGCTCTGATCAAGCTAGTGTGCTAAAGGTTGCAATGTAGCCTCAGATATATGGGTGGCAGGAGGAGGGTCCAGTGATGATGGATATATGCCTATGGTTTCAGATGGTACTGCATTTAGTCTCACTGCCTGGTGGCTGCAGCTATACTGCTATATTTAGCATGCTAGCTCAATCATAATTAACATGGATATGTCTCCTTATGTTGGTAATTACACCTCCGGTTGTAGTGTACATATTCCTTTAGTGGGATAAAATGGTTGTCGCTTCAAAATTGATTCAACATTTACAATGAAGTTTGGAGGGATTTACACAGTATTGGTTCAGCTTATGTCACAATAACTGGACCATAAACCAGATTGTCTTCAGTTAAGAATGAATGTGGTTTCTTTCTAGGAAGTCCTGGTTTATTCCAACAGTTCCACAAAAGGCAGAGAGTTCCTGAAATACCTCACAAACTTGTCAACCCGGGCCACTCTCTTTGCCCCAAACAATAATGGGCTAAGAGAAAATGAGGTGAGCATCTTTTTATCCTTTTCTTTCATGGTATTAGTGTTACATCATTCTGAGCAGGCCTACTGGAGTCAAGTAGTAATTGTTCAAATTTAATTTGAACAAATACATCTCAGGAAGAGATGGCAAGCTGACTGGTTTTACTAAGTCACTAAGCAGATAGGCAGACATGTCTTTTTTTTATTTGTGTCTCGGCCAATCATTAATGGAAGGTTACATACTCTTGAGCCACTTTTAAGACTTTTCCATACACTGGGTTTTGTTACCACATACAAAAGTCCTTTAGAAGCAAGACCAGCTCTCACTTATCTGCAACTGCAGCTATACAGATTAGCTGTTAAAGAAAGTTGTGTGTAATTTTCAGATCTGATATTTGTTGCACATCTATTCACCAGAGGCTATTCTTCTGCCTTATCATTGTCCTTCATCCTTTCCAGTCAGCCATTGCTTTCAACGTCACTGGTAAAATCCTGGCCATTGAGTTCCTTGAGGTCAGGAGTTCATCCAAAGGCCTGCGTTACCACTTAGTTGTACACTAGGTACTGTAGTTTGAAACTTGCACATTTCTTAAAGGTTTCCTACAAACATTTTTTTTAAAGAACCATTGTTTGGTTCTTCAGGGCTCCTCTCTGCCTGCAGTAGTGCAGAAAAACCAGCAAGAAGGAGAAGCCTTTTGTCCAGCTAACAGGTTTTCTTTGAGCAATACTCAAGGGGCACATCCATACTTACTCGAAGATCGATGCTCCGGTGGTCGAACTTCTGGCGCTTGATTTAGCAGGTCTAGTATAGACCCATAAATCAAATGCTGAGGGCAACTCCTGCCAACTTCTTTTGTGAGGAGTAAGGGAAACCAACTGGAGCATTTGCTCCCATTGGCCTCCTGCAGTGTGGATGCCACGAAGGCTCGGCTTAAGGTAAACCAACTCCAGCTATGCATTTTATGTAGCTGGAGTTGCATACCTGAAGCTGACCTTCGTAGTCTAGTGTAGACCAGGCCTAGAGTCAAAGAAAGACATAGAACCTTTTGCTAAAGACCACTATGTCAGGGAATGCAAGTGGTAGAGAATTTCAAAATCCATCCAGGGAATTTAGTCTAATGGTAAAATCAGCCAGGTAAATTAGACTGGTAAACATGTCTATTTTCCCTCTTCTTTAGACACTTTCCGGACGAGACATTGAGTATCATCTATCCAATGCCAGCACGATGTTTTATGGAGACTTGACCAATGGGACTACTCTTCAAACAAGGATAGGGAAAAGACTCTTAATTACATACAGTGTAGGCCAGGATTACCAAATTCAGACAACAAAAAAGGTATAATCATCTGTGTTACAAATAAGTCTGCTCTCCAGACTCCTCTCCTCCATCTTGTCCTTTGTCTTATTAGCAAACATTGCACAATCCAGGGTTGCATTGCCCCAGAGAGAAGCAGCAACCCAAGAGACTGCAAGGATTTTTAGTGCAAATTATCCAGCATTTCATTCTAGCCAAGGTGCTGCTGAGTCACAGAAAGCTTGAAACATGGGGTGAGGGAAGATGGTGCTTGGCAAAGAATGCCAAAAGCATGTAACAGCACAGTACAATCTTAGACCTAACTTGTCCCTGAGGGAGTAGGAGAGCTGGTGCTCAGTGGGAGACAGGAAGTGGTATTTAGTTTGTTCCTTAGTAGTATTCTTAGTTCCTCATACAAGTTCTTAATTTTTTAAAAAGGGCCTAAACTGTCCTTTTAGACAGAACATTTTCACAGAAAATTGATTTAAGAAATATTTTGCCATTTCCTGAAAAAATTAATATTCCACCCCTAAGAAAGAAAAACAAACAAACGTTTCTTAAATTTTTGGAAAAAACAGAATTTTTCATTTATGGCGAAATTTTTCACCTTCTGCTCAACTCTAACAGCATGTAGGACAGTAGCTTCCCTATAGCAACTCCCTTGGGCCAGACTCTGGCTACAGACATAGCAAGAGAGCAAGTCCTCAAGACACGAATATTGCAGACAAACTTCCAAAGAATGTGTGGTAGTATTCCTTGGTTAGAACAGAAGCAAGGGCTTCTGAGAAAGGTGACACGTGGGGACAGAGAAGAGATGGAAACCCTTCCCCTCCCCCATCTCCAGAAGACTGTTCAGGGGTGGCAATTGCAGCTTATTAGATGTGTAATGTAAAAATAAAATTCCACCCTCCGTTCCACTCTGCTACGCAGTGACAGTGTACTATACCAGCTGACCCATTGTCTCATAACAGGAGTAAGATGTCCTTATGACCTTAAACCTTAGTCCATCCTGTGCTTTTCAGCACACTGGCCTACCCACATTCTCTATGTTTGCTTATCAGCTGCCATATAATCTAAGTCCTCTCATTTCAAAATATTTTTTCTGTGTTGTTGATGATCATATGCTTCCAAATCATTCTAGGTTTACTCCTCTTTCTTGTTGGATTTTCTGGCTTCCAACTGTGAGCCATAATTGGTAGTCAGTTATGATCTGTTCCTAACACATGCCCCTGCCAGTGCCAGTCCCAAGCCTGGATCAGAGAGGAGGGTTGGTTGATGGGGTAGCTTCCCTTCACCATAAAAAACTCTTGAGCTACAGGAAACTACTCACATTACTCACAGGAAATCAATGACTGAGATATGTCGCTCATTAAAATCATCTTTTCACTGCCACTTTCCCCTTGCGTGACACACGAGTTAGAAAATAACCAGAGATCTACTGGAGGCGAGGGGTTTGCCCCGCTTGAAACTGGCTCAGTGCTGGACCAGGAGGTGAGTTGTTCCAGCTCATATATCCGGTCAATTTGGTCTCCAGGAGATTGCAATACACAACCTTTTACTCCTCTGTTTGAAATCCACCCAGATTAAATCAATTTATTTTCCAAACCCCTGGATTTGTGTAAGAAGCACTTGAGGCTTCTCAGCATGTACGTGAATGAGAATGCTCCTATTACTAGTGTGCTCCTGTCAATAAGCATACGCCAACATGCATAACTGTATCTCTACAAGATGTCCAGCCCTTTAAAAGAGGTCACATGTTACAGTTAATAGCTAGTGGTAGGGTGCATGCTTGCATGATGGTCTAACTGGCTGAGTTAATCTCCCTCCTCCTCCATAGATCTTTTTTCTGGTTATACCAATGCCCAGAGTGGAAACCTGCTCCCTCCATTCACCTCTAGCAGAACAAAAGAGATCCACCACACACTTTTAATTCTTTTAAAATGAGCACTGGTGGGCTAGTGAAAGTAGGGAAGATTGAGATTGTAACCTAGGCAGTAACAGTAATAGTTTTCCAATTATACCACCTGTTCTACTTCTTCCTTTTGGTGGTAACATTACATTTGTGTTTGCAAATGTTAAATGTTTGCATCTAATTCCCAAGTCCTTGGCACACATCCACACTGTGGACGTCCACACAAGGAGTAATTTGGAAGTCAAGCAAAGACCTTCAATCAAACACTACAGCTACGTTTACACTGGCACCCTTTTCCGCAAATGCTTAAAACGGAACAGTTTTTCCATTATAAGTATTTCCGGAAAAGCGCGTCTTCATTGGCAGGATGCTTTTCCGGAAAAGCACTTTTTCCAGAAAAGCGTCCGTGCCAATGTAGATGTGCTTTTCCGCAAAAAAGCCCCGATCGTCATTTTCGGGATCGGGGCTTTTTTGCGGAAAAGACTACTGTGCTGTCTACACTGGCCCTTTTCCGGAACAGTTTTTCCGGAAAAGGACTTTTGCCCGAACGGGAGCAGCATAGTTTTTTCCGGAAAAACAATGACGATTTTACATTAGATCATCATTGCTTTTCCGGAAAAGCAAGCGGCCAGTGTAGACAGCTCGCAGCTTATTCCGGAAAAGCGGCTGCTTTTCCAGAATAAGTGGCCCAGTGTAGACACAGCCTACCAGGCTACAGAAACTGAAGTGACTGAGCCCCTAAATCAGGGGTGGGGAAACTAAGGCCCAGGTGCAGTTCCGGGCTTGTCTGGATCCAGCCCCTGGGGCTCAGGGCTCCTCCCTCCCAGTATTGGGGAGCCCTCTCTGACACCCAGTCCCCACTCCCCCCCCCGCCCGCCGGCCAATTGTTCTGTGGGTCAGCAGCCCCCAGCCCAAAAAAGGGTCCCCACCCCTGCCGTAAATCTTTTTCTTAACAACGTTCCTGCTGCCAGAGATGCTATACTTCAGAATCACGCTGGGTGACTCCTGCTCTCTCTCATGCAGTGCAGACAATGGGCCAGGTGATTCTGTTCTATGTAGAAAAGGCTGATCTGCACGCTACTGTCACAGCAGACAAGCTGTGACTTATTTACCAGCAAGATCATCTGCACTAATTCTTATTTAAAATAGAATGTTTTAGTCAGGGTTTGGCAATGCACGTGTTTTTTATGGGGACTAGAAAATAGACACAAGGACATATTCCTACTTGAAAGGAGGATCGCGCCAGTCTAGACGCTCTTTTCCAGCTTTTCCCCAAGCCGGAAAAAAAGCGGCGGCCATGTTTATTTAAATCCCCCGTGGATTTCCCTATTCCAAAATTCGAAATTAGCATGCCTCTTCCGAAGAAGGGGCCAGTGTAGACGTAGCCAGTGGGTATGGCTCTGGGGAAAGAGAAGCTGCCTGCAGCTTCCCGGTCCTGGAGCCAAGCAGAGATAAGCTTTGCCACTGAGAGCAGCCCCACCCCACCAGTCAGAGATTGTCTCATCTCCCTCTCCCCAGGCACAGCTGCATGGTGTAGGAAACTGGATATGCTAGATCTACATCAGTTAAAGATTCCTCCACAGTGGTGTCAAGTTTCAGAGGGGTAGCCGTGTTAGTCTGAATCTGAAAAAGTGGCGGAGTCCTGTGGCACCTTATAGACTAACCGAAGTGTTGGAGCATAAGCTTTCGTGGGCAAAGACCCACTTCGTCAGATGCATAACATGCCCACGAAAGCTTATGCTCCAACACTTCGGTTAGTCTATAAGGTGCCACAGGACTCCTCGCCGCCTCCACAGTGTGCTAATCACCAACTGGAGAGATCCAGCTCCTCTTACCATAGGAGCAGGATAAAGGGATCAGATAGAGGCTCTGGATGGCTGCATAGCTAACAAGAATTCAAGATGAGTTTGCCAGCTGGAGTCTGGAGTGACTGCAGGACTGGTTGAGCTATATCTCCTCACTGCTCCCTTTAAAATGCATGATGGCCCATTCAGCTAGAGCCTAGGGAAGCAGTGACCAAATGCTGCCACCCAGCGCCAATTCCATGGCTGGGTGGCATGTGTCTCTCTCACAGTGACACCAGCAAAATAGTACTTACTGGTAGCCTCGGCAGAGTGCCAAAACTTGGCAGGCACCGAGGTGACAATGCTCCTGGCCAGGATTGAGATACAGTAGCAGGGCCACGAAGAGACGGTTGTTCTGTTGCTCTCTGAATTGCCCTTTGCTATTGAGTCAGGACTGTCAATTTCATAAATCTGTAAAAACATAATACACCCCAAGTGACAGATTAACTTCCTGGCATCATCCATTCCTGTATTCCCGCTCTGCTGGTTAGTTCTGACCACAGGCTTTGAGCAATTGCGGGCTGATGTCCAGTAACCAGGCAAGCGTATAATTACACAAGTAGAGTCTCCCTCGTCTAATCAGTGAAAGAGAAATAAATCTAAATATTATGTTGTTCCTGAAGAGAGGAAGATCAAAACTCAGTTCCCATTGTTTTTGTTCGTTAGAATGAGACCAGATACGTGGATGGAAAATCTATTCTTGAATGGGATCTTATTGCTTCCAATGGAGTAATCCATGTCATTTCAGAGCCTTTAAAAGCACCTCTATTGCCTGTAAGTATTTGTTGTTACATTTTTAAGAGCATTGCTGATAATTGTTCATAAAAATGTTCCCATGATTCCTTAAAAGTAGCTGATCAGTTCCATGCTGGTTTTATTTCCAGGTTAAGAATTTATTCCAGCAGAGACTGGAGTTTAAAACTCAAGAGACAGGGATACTGGCAGAGCTGGTCAGCATGTTTGAGGGAACAATTCTCTGTTGGAAAATGCTAATTTGACTGAATCATGATTCTGTGGGACTTTGTCAATGCCACCAAAACTTCTAATGGAAGCTTCATCTCCCCCAGATCCAAGGCTACCTGGAAAGCTGGTTTGCCATGTCAGAAATTTTTGAAAAATTCCTTTTCAGTTCTTTGAAAGGAATTCTTCAAAAGTTTCTATCACCGAGCAACTATCACCAGTGTTTCTATCACCACTGGTTTCTATCACCAGTGTGGGAGCTAGGGGTCCAGGAGAAGTTTCAGGGTGTAAGCTCTGAGGAGGAGATTGGGTGCAGGGAAACTCACATTTAGGGCAGGAGGTTGGGTGCAGGAGGAGGTTCAGTACTAGGACAAGGGTTCAGGATGCAGCATCTGGCTGGGCACTGTTTAACTGAGATGGCTTCTGGGCGGTGGAGCAATAGAGTTAAGGCAGGCTTACTCCTGCCCTGGCCCAGCACCACTCCTGAAGCAGCTGGCATGTACACCAATGGCTCCATGGTGCCATGTGCTGCCCCTCATCTACAGGCACTGAGCCCATAGCTTCTACAGGCCACGGTTCCCCATTACTGATCAATGGGAGCTGCAGGAGTGGTGTCTGCAGGCAAGGACAGCATGTGAAGACCCCGTTTGGCCTCTCTCAGGGGCTGCAGGGACATGCCAGCCACTTCCAGGAGCAGCAATTACCATAGAGATAATTACTCCAGCCATGACAGGGTAGGCATTTTAGAGCTCACTACTCAAATTGAATTTTAAGCATGAGAGAGAAATGAAAGTTATGAAATGCACAGACCAGTCCAAAATCAAAAATAACCCACTTTGCAAGCAGTAAAAGTAGTAACAACAATCCCCCACATATGTGTTGGCTTAGGAGAGGAGAGTGAAAGACAGTGTGTGTTTTTCACTCTCACTCTCACCCTCACCCTCACTCAGTGTCTAGACTGGCAAGTTTTTCCGCAAAAGCCACTGCTTTTGTGGAAAAGCTTGCCAGCTGTCCAAACTGGCCGCTTGAATTTTCACAAGAACACTGACTTCCTACTGTCTGAAATCAGTGCTTCTTGCGGAAATACTATGCTGCTCCTGTTCAGGCAAAAGGGCCAGTGTAGACAGCTCAGATTTGATTTACGCAAAAAAGCCCCGATCGCAAAAATGGCGATCGGGGCTTTTTTGCACAAAAGCGCGTCTAGATTGGCACGGACGCTTTTCCTCAAAAAGTGCTTTTGTGGAAAAGCGTCCGTGCCACTCTAGACACTCTTTTCCACAAATGCTTTTAACGGAAAACTTTTCAGTTAAAAGCATTTGCGGAAAATCATGCCAGTCTAGACGTAGCCACACAGTATGCGAGCGTGACAGATTTGCATTGCCAGTGTCCCTCCCTTGCCTTCTCTCTCTCTCTCTCTCTGTGTGTATGTGGAAATAGAGTACAGAAGTAAGGGGGGAGGAGGGACACCTTGACATCAGTATCCCCTCTTCTCCCTCCCACAGCCTGCACAGCAAGCAGGATCCTCCCAGAGGGGGCAGCTCCAAGGCAGAGGGCAGGAGCAGCATAACAGTAGGTGTAGGGGCAACTGAAGTGCCAGCGCTTTGTAGCTTCTGGCCAAATCTGTCAGGATCACCTGTCAGAGGCTCCAAGATCTACCAGTAGATCCCAGTCTGATTGGTGACCATACTCTAAGTGGTTGTCTATACAAATTGGTGTAGTTGTTCTGGTTTGACCTTCTAGTTATAGTGGAACAACCCCATTTGGAATCAGTGCAATTATACTGCTATAAGCATCTATAGTAGCTTAACCTGTCCCTGTACAGAAAAAGGAATAAACTATATCAATATGAGACCTCTTTCTACTATAGAACTGCATCCGCGTTAGGGATTATATTAGTGTATTTGGTTAACAGTTCACACCCTCAGCTAAGTTATACTAATACAGAATCAATGTGTAGAGCAGGATTGTATCATTCTTTTCCCATCCTCTTACCTGCATGCAAACTATTGCAAAAAGGCTACATTTCCCACCTCTCCAAAATTGTCTGACAATGTTTTTTTCAAATCAGAGGGAATCTTCCCGGAGGAAAGGAATCACTGGCTGACCAATGAGCAGTTTGGAATTCTGTTATAAAATGATAGTTTGTTTTAAACTCACGTCTATGAGCGTCTTAGACAAAAGCAGTTCAAGAAAAACTTACAGAACAAATGTTTTTAAATATGGAATGACACTGAGCACCTGGCTCTACCACTCACTCCTCTCTCTATGACCAGGCTTCTCACGCTGGATTTGGAACTGGAATATTCTTTGCCATCATCCTGGTTATTGGAATCGTGGCTTTTGTTGGGTATGCGTACTTCAGATTCAAGAAGAAAAATATTGGCTTCCGGTATTTCAAGGTAGGAGGTTGAGTGTGAAATTGAATCACAAAGGGGTCAGTCAGCACCTTCTCCAGCCCATCCCCGTTTAGGGGCAGATACGGCCAACACAATTCATCCTGTTGAAGTCTGTCTTCAAAAATATCTTTCCTTGTTACTATGCTAGTTAGGAAACATGCTGGCTTGCTTCAAACCACCACTGGAACCTCACGGCTGCCTCTGGTGTGCTGGGTCAAAAATTCTGTTCCTGAGAATTGAGCGTTCACGCCAAACACTTGGAAAGAGGCAAAGTCTCTTCAAATGGTAGTGATGCAGTCTTGCCAGTGCAAGTCAACAGTCTGCAAGAAGCCTCCCAATTTCCTCCTCCCCCTTTCTCCCCCCCAGCCTATTTACTTCAAAGCAAGGACAATAGACATATTTCCTACAGTCAGAAGCGTGCAGGAGTCAAATCACAGACAAGGCACGCCAGGGCCCATAATACTCAACAGCAGTCCTGAGTGAGGTGCATGCTAGGCTGCACATCATGGTGAAATTGTGCTTGTCTGAGCAACAGCCCTTCTAAGAACTCTCCCTCAGGCAATGGTTTATATATAACAAACATGTACACCTGCACCTGTGGCCACAGTCTTGCTCTAAACTTGTACAGCAGTCCTGCCACAAAGTCCAATTTGTCCAACTCACCTAAACACACAACTCCAGGAGTCCATTAATTTGGAAGCCTAACTATGCCCACTAAGTGGGACACCACTCAACAACTGCCAACTCTTATGCTAGGCCTGGGCTTGCCCAGAGAATGTGTTGGAAGTGAGATTTGGTAGCAAGAAAGGCCAGAAATGTAGGCAAGTTGAAGTGTTTGCTAAGGTTCTAAAAGGTAAGCTTGGATGCGATATTGAACATGGAGCCAGCCAATGCTGGTTAGCTTTGCACAGCACCTTCCTAGGAAGAAATCCAGCACCAAAACTATTCAGCATAAGATAAGGGTGGAAGATAAAAAAAAAAGTGCATCTGGGGTCATGCCAAAGGATCTAAAAGAAAATCCCCCCCCCCCCAAGAAAAAGCCAGTAGTCCATCCTTATTCTAGCTTCTGCATAGAACATGAATTATCATTTAGAGTTGTCAGAGGAATATTGACCATGGGAAACCTTGATTTATTTGTATTGTGGTAGCAGCCAGAGGTCCCAAGTGTGATTGGAAATTCCTTGTGCTAGGTATAGTACAAACAACCATCCCCATGCTAAAGCTTTCACAATCTACGTAGAGAAGACAAAGGATTTGCCCAAGATCATGTCACAAGCCAGGACCATAATTTAGGTCTCCTGAATCCAAGTCTAATCTCTAGCCATTAAACCACACTGCCTCCAGTTCCCAAACTACTGTGAATTATTTGGTTATATGTGGCAAAGTCAATGACTCTGTTGTTAGCAAGTGAGACACTCAGCAAGATGGATTTTAAATGGGCATTATGGTTTTATACAGTCAAAAGAAGACATAGATGTAACAGCGCTTGACAAGCCTTCAAATATCACAAACCCCACATATGAAAGTTCTGCTGCTCCTCTGCCTGAACCGACCTATGACCCTTTTTCTGTAAGTTTTTATTTTGATTTGAGAGACTGTGATAATAGTTTAAGAGCATGGAGATGGAATTCTGTAATAGGATGGTATCTAGCTGAAAATTGAGAAGACAGGTCTATATTTGAGGGTGGGGGAGAATAAAAATCCTACTTTCTACCACTGGGCCAGCTCCACTAGCAACAGGACTTAAGATCACTCAGCAGCATTTAACTCCCATATCTAGCTCTAAAAACACTACAATTGCAATGCCGGTAGCTGCTAGTAACTTTGTCAACACTTCCACTCTCTAGTTCTCAGTTGTTGCCTGACCGGTAGGCAAGGGTGGGAAGGGTGCAGAAGAGGCCTTATGTTTTAAAGGTCAGATTTCTTTCTCTCAGCTGCCAGAGCAGTGGTTTTCATCCTTTCCTCTGTGACTTCATGTAAGAGTAAATATTCCTATAATAAAAATGTGCTCACTGCTCTTGTATCAGTTTGATGGACATTCAACAGCATGTTATGTCCCTGTTGCTATCCTTGGACTAAAGTTGACAATAACAATGGGACTCAAATATTTGGGGCACGAAGTACTTCCTCCTCCATAATAATTGCAGGGCAAGGTTACAGAAACCAAAGGCAAATAGAGTTGGTCCTTATGGCACCAATTCAGTAAGGCACTTAAAGCATATGCTTAAAAATCCCATTGATTCCAGTAGAACTAAAGCCTGAGCTTTAAGAGATTTACTGAGCTGAGGCCCTTTTTGGTCTGACTCAAGTTTCCTTTGTCTTCTTTCATGGTAGCTAAAGTCAAATAGCATGATGCAATGCCATTCTGGTTGGTAGATGAATTGGGGGAGAGGGTGAGAGAAGAGAAGACATCACTTGCTGAGAAGAATGGGAAAATGCAGTTTAATATTTGTGCTGGGTTTTGGATTTCCTGGTACAAGCATGATTGGCACAATAAGTACAGAAATTTGACGTCAGGGAAATTATAGATTGAACACTATTAGAGTCTAATACTTAGTTTGTATTTTATAGGATTCTGATGAACAGCAGCTTGTAATGAGTGGGCCTCACGATCAGTTCTGAAGACTGAAATTGAAATTATCAATGGTGAAAAACAGTTCTCTACCATCTAAACTTAACATTTACTGTGAATAAGCCTTGTCCACATGCTTCAGGAAAAAAATTTCCTTTTATATATTTTTTTAATTGTGTATAAAATGCAGCCTTATGTGTTTGAGATAAATTCTCTCAAAAGCTAGTTGTATGTAAGGAATATCAACTTCCATTTTAAACAAATACAAACCTTAAATGTAGTAAATATACAATGTATTCCTCTGTCTAGGAGACATTTAAAAGTGATTTCTATTTATGGACATAGGAATTGCTAGACAACAGCCCACAATGACTCAGTTTTTCAGAACACCACCTAGCCACATAAATTTACAACCCCCGTCTTTCTGTAAAGAGATCAAACTGCCTCTTAAACACCTAGTCCTGATTGCCTAGGATGGCCTTATTTGGAGGATGTACTCTGTTTGCTATCCTTGTGTCTTTATGCCTAATTTTGCCTTTGGATTGAATCCAGAAGAGACTGAAAAGCAAGAACAGCAAATATTGTTTTACCAGTATTATGATCTTCAATTTTAAGATTGTTAGCACTTATTAACAAAGGTCTTCCTTCTAAACAGTGAAGTAACTGCAAATGCAAGTGCAGAATATCCTGTTTGCCCAATCTCAACTGTTTATAGATTCCATCATTTTGTTATAAAGAAGAAATATTAATTGTAAAGGAATTAATGAAGAATGCAAGTCATGTATGACATTAGCCTTGTTTTATTCTTTTATCTCAAGCCATTTTTGTGCAGGATGGACATTTAGCTTATTTACTGTCCACTTGGCCTTCCCCAATCACTTTTCAGTTGTTTGTGTAATGTAAAAAAAGTCTTCTGTAATGTCTGTGTAGTGTGTTTGTATCAGTTATACATGAGATTCAAATTTTAAAACAGCAATACCAGCTGCCAATCTACATGTACTGTTAAAATAATGAAATAAAGTTGGGGAGGGAAATTCAGTGTTAAATGCTGCAGCAAGTCTTCAGATGACGTGGAAGGCTACATAACACAGTAAACCTCAAGAAGAGATGTTTGTGCTTGTGACAGCAGCAGTGGTAATGTTTCATAGCAACGATACATTTACTGGCACTCTTTTCTCTCTCTTGCAACAATTTGTTTTTGTGCAGCATAGGATTTCTTTCATATAAATATCCCCAGGTCTTTTAACAGATTAAGCAAACCACACCACTTACTATAATAAAATACAATGTAACACTTGTGCTTGGCCTATGTCAGATGGCTCGGGTTTGGGCTAAAAATTGTGGTGGTGATGTTCAGACGGACATGGACAAGCTACAGGTGCTTAAATGCGGCATAGATAGACCCAGAGACCCAGCACTTGATGTAGTCATTTTGTTGTGAGGGATTCCAAGTTGAAAGGATAAATACCTGAACAAGTGAGGCAAAGGCTAAAGTTATTTTCATGTCTATCCCCTCCCTGCTGTCACTCCAAACATACACATTTTTTACTTAAGATCTAAGATGGTTTTTCCACTTAGTGGGCCCTGCTAATAAGTTTCCTGCCACTCCCTCCTAGTTATCAGAAAGAGTTAAGACTCATTAAGGACCAGATAAAATCCACACACCGGACCACCCATTACATTTATTTTTGTTACAGTCATTACATATTTTTTACATAAAACATTTTCTGATTGGTTAATAAACAATTTTTGGACTTCTGATTTAGACTAAACAGACAATTCACCTGACTCTGGTTCAGTTGAAATATACTACAGAAATTAATATAGACACACTGCATTTTAAACATGCTATAAAAATCTACATGAGAAGTAATGTGGCAGTGTTAAAAGGTAATTAATATGGAAAGTAGAAACGTACACAGCTCAAGAATTCTGAAGCAATTACATAAAAAAAAACCAAACACATTTGTAAAGTTATGCTGAAGTAGGAAGAGTACTCCAACACTGAAGCATATTCATGTATTTCTATTTTCAGAAATATTTGTCTTAAATTCACAGTGTACAATTTGAAGACTAAACCTCTGTAACTAAAAATCTCACAATATAAATAAAAAAGGTATTCACTGCTTTCCCACATCTTACAGCAATCAACATCAAGCATAATGTAACACTTTTACTGTATTTTAAGTTAAGTTGAAGTTTTTCCATCTTGCAACAAAATGCATGGATAAAATATCCCACAAAACAATTTCACTGATCCTGCTTAACATGCTATCAGTGGTCAGGAGGACTCACTTTTTATCTAGATTTACAAGATTAGGCAACATAAGCTAATGCCAAAAGCTATAAGCATTAAAGTGTTCTAATAATGTAACCTCTCAATTTTTTTTAAATGTGACATTAAACTATAATCTGCTGGTACTAAGTCAAAAAGAAAAAGTATATTGTATTTTCTCAAACTAGTTACGCTTTTCAGTACAAATACTATCACCACTTTGAAAAGCACTTTGGCATCCTTTGGAATATAAAATGTGCTAAGTTCAGTAACATCAGGTTTTGTTCTGTCACAGCAGGACAACTCAGAGATGGCAAATTGAGATTACTCCTCCCTCCAACATTCAGCATGTAAAATATTAACTAGCTCTTCCACGCATGACAATAAGTCACCTGATAAAGCTAAACTAGGTACCATTGGAAGTTTTTTATTCTCAGCAAACAAGTGCAGGAGAGTCAGTAAAACTCATGCATTTCAAGTCAAGTATAGTATATTCATTGGTATAAATGTACCTAACACCCTAAAAATGTCATGTATAGGTTTGGAAACTAAACTAGAGAAAATGTCAAACAATGCTATCATATTAAAACCTCCATGGCCAGCAACAGATTTATTTCAAGCATCCAGGTTTAAAGGATTTGTGCAAGAAGTTTTTAAAATGTTCATTTTGCAAAAATGCTTTTTAAAATTTCAAACATATTACATATGAAAGTCATTATAAACATATGTACACAAACGGAGACTGGTTTAAAAAAAAAAACACACCCCAAAAACAAAAAACCCAAAACCAACCTTTTGGTCACCAAAAGTTCATTTATCGGATGGTCATTGCTGGAAGCAAATAATGCCTTAAAAGGAAACTAGGAATAAGTTTTGCTATATATTTTGCCAATTAAATTTTCATATACTATACTTTTAAAAATTGGAACTAAACACAGAAAATATTAAATTGAGTCAAGCTATACAAATTCTTAAATAGATGGATAGGGAACTCCTGGGTTTTTTGCTTTTGGTCACAAAGGAGGGAAAAATCTTTAGAAACTTCTGTAGTAGTTTATCGAAGTGTCTATTAGAGGGAACATGCTTCAACAGATGTTCCCTTTGTGCAAAATTACGATAAGCTTCGGTTCAGTCTTAAACATTGGGAACTATACAGTGTGAAATTAACATCTATTACTTAGAATTTCAGTAATAGAAATAAAGCTCCTTGCTATTCTGTACAGTGCCAATTACTTTGTGTGCTCCGATTAGTCTTTTTCCCCCAACTTTGGGAATTTAAAACCAAAATGGTCAGATATGATTTTGTTTTTTCATTTTCTTCCTTTTCCTCCTCTGTTTCTTTCTAATTCATATGCCAATTATGCATATTTATTTTGAAATGTAAAAATAAAATCATGGAAGGCTACACCAAATGTGAGATGAAAGCTTTAATAGTCATAGTACTTCATAGAGAACTATAACCTAAGTAGTCTGACTACTCTGAGAAATTGTCAAAGGGCAAGTGTTCAGCACTGTGAAAATTAAGTCATTTAAGAGGTCCAAAGTTGGGCACCCAATGACACTAGTCATATTTGAAAATTTGGGCCTACATCCAGGGACAACATTTATCACACACAGGACACAAGTTATTAGACTACATTAATATAAAATGCATATACAGATAGAAAAGGCAGCCCATTAGAAATGAGTCTCAGTAAAACTACAGGTATAAAGATCTATTGTAACTAGGATTGCCAGATGGTTTAACCAAAAATACTGAACACCTTTCCTCCCTCCCCTTCCCCCCAAAAAAGGACTCAGTTATTATTTAATTTTTTTGGCTTAATAAAACAGCATAATAAAACTGATGCGTGCAGAGTCAGAATAGGGATAGGAGCAGGGGAGCGGTTGAGCACTAAGACCCAGGGAAAGCATTGCTTCCTCTTGGTCTTTAGGCTTTTTCCCCACCGCCATTTTGTTTTTTTGATCAAGCCAGAACGCAGCTTCCCTGCGGAACCAGGTAAGCAGCAGGTCCCGGGGGGAAAAGGGGGGCGGGAAGAGGCCGGGGGGCGGGTTGCCAGGTGTCCAGTATTTTCACCTCCTGGCTGGGGGGGAGGGGAAAAGAGGGGGGGGGGAATTCAGAAAATACTGGATATTTTAGGTGTCTGGTATTTTCTGAATTTTTTTTTACTGGACAGGAAGCAAAAATACCGGATTGCCCAGGTCAATACTGGGCACCTGGCAACCCTAATTGTAACTCAAGTCTCCAGCACAGAAAGTTACTATATTTGTTCTACTCCCTCCCCACATCACTGTAAACTCACTGATAATTGTGTTTCTCCCTGATAAAAATAAACATTTTAATCACATCAAGATACATTTGGAGTCACCAGATGGAGGTCCATCAGACCAACAGAAGAAATAGGATGCATATTTTCTGTATCTTCGTAAAACACAAGGCTGCAGATACAAGTTTCAATACGAAAAAACTAATTTTCCCTTCCAGCCAATTGTTTGAGGTCTTTTTCCCTCCCTCTATGTACAAGCCTAAGTCTCATTATTTTAAAGACTATCTATACACAGATACTCCCAGGGGAATTCTGCACCACAGCCATGAGCAGAATTCATGTTCCCAATAGATTTCTCTCCCTCCAGCCCCCCTGAAAATAGGTTATCCTGCAGAGGCACTGCAATTACCCCTTTTTCCCCACAAGGAGCTGCTGTGGCACTAAACCAGAGGGCAGCCAGCTTAGGGGCCAGAGCAGTCAGCTGCAGAGAAGGAGAGAGGAGAAGCTGCCTTCTCAGTGCCTACCTGTGGGGCTAGGTAAGGAAGCAAGCAACATGGTTGACACGGACAGAAGAAGGTACATAGGGCTGCTGAGGGGTCACAGACTAGGGTTCAGAAGGGCTAGTGAGGGGAACAGACTACAGCAAAGGCACAGGAGTTAGTGAGGTGACAGCAAAGAGTCAGGGGTTGAATGGGAGAGGGGGGTGCATGACCACATGGTCATGGAGAAGTATGAAAAGCTACAAAGGGATGGGAGAGACAGGAGTTGCTGGGGGGGGAGAGGTTGGCTTCAGAGACAGGACATCAGGAAGAGAGTGCAGGGGCCTATAGGGACAGATGTGTCTGATTGAACCGGAGGGACTATGATCAGGAAGGGTCTGTATGGGGGAGGCTCTTCAGCTCCCTAACAATCCCTCCCTTTCTCCTCCTGCCCCCACAATAAGTGTTCTATATTTCTCCCACCCATACCCAACAACCTTCCAGGTTCCCTTGCAGGCTCCTTCCCAGCTCTTCTCCCTCAGCTCCTCTGTACTCTAGCTGCCCTGCCCCAAGCTTTTGCACTGCTTCAGAGGGGTGCAGGAAATGCTGTTCTGCATGGTAGTTGAAATGATTTATTATTCAGAATTCTCTATTAAATATGCCCTAGTAAGGGATCTATTTGGCAAAACAGAACATTTCCTGAATCTCTTTTGGTGTCTGTATTGTTACTTGTCAGCAAAAATGTCTGTATCTTGAAATAAATGACCAAAATGATGGAAATTGGTGAGATTATATGGTGTTATTTTGAAAAATAAAATATGATTATTAAAATATTGATTGCAGAACTTTTCGGGTTTTGGCACAGAATTACCTCAAGAGAAAGAGACCAGTTATACACAAATTCTTGCTCTATCAGGACAGATAACTCCAGTAACTGGATCGAAATAAATAAATGTATTACGTGCTTAAAAATAAATCTACATTCTGGTTGTTACTGATGGGTATATTCATCCATTTCAGGTGCTATAAAATAACCCACATACATGCCAAGCTCATTTGATCTGAACCATCTCTTGCAGGAAGGGTATTCTGAATGTACCAGTGCATAGTTGGTCTGACCAGGTAGGGAGTTCATGCTGCAAAGGAGTCCTCCTTGGATAAAATGTGTAATCGGGATCATAGTTCAAGAGACAGCTCAGAGATGCCATGTAAATATCAGCAAATCGAGATAAGCGCCGTAAGAAATAGGTTGGATTCTGGTCAGTCCTGAATAAGCTCCCAAATTGCGAATTGAAGAAGTTTCTGGTCATTTCCCTGTCACCAGAGAGAAAATTTAAGAAGAGACAGAGGATGGGGAGTGAGAGGGAAGAGACTTTTTAATCAATGTACATAACCCAACATCTCGAATAATTAGAGCATTTATACTATTCTCTTAGTACTGTATCTCAAAGCCACTAAGACGTGCTTTGAAAAGGATTTCATGTGACTATATGTAATTGTGTAAACATCATTCGCGTGACTAATAAGACCTTGATTTTACACCCACTGAAACCAATGGCATAAGATTGGATCCGCAATGTTCCCAAGTTTATTTTGAAGGGCTGCAGAGGAGACTTAACCTTATCTTAAAGATTTCCATTTCCCAACCTAAAGCTATGTCTACAATACCAACTTTTGTTGAAAAAAGTGTCAACACCCAAAAGTCAACACAATTTTTAAAAAAGTGTTACCAGAGGGTGTTCACACTTGTTCCGTGTCGACAGATCATGTCCACACTAGGTCATCCTCACTGACAGTGTGAGCAGTGCTCTGTGGGTCTGTATTTCATAATGCAGTGTTGTGGGAAGGCAGAACATCATAGTCCCTGCACATCTTGTGATTCCCTCCATGTTCTCCCACAGGCTGTGTCTAAACTGCAGAATTTTTGTGCAAAAACTCAGAGCATCCACACTACAAGTGTGTTTTTGCGCAAGAAAATTGAGAGTAAATCAAGAAGAGAGGGCTTTTTGCACAAGAGTTATTCCTCCTTCTACAAGGAATAAGACTTCTTGTGCAAGAGTTCTTGCGCAAAAAGGTGTGTGGGGAAAACGGGTTTCTTGCGCAAAAACAGCCTATGAGAAAAAGCACAGGTGCTCTAATAGCCATTAACAGAATGGCCATCAGAGCTTTCTTGCACAAGAGCGTCCATGCAGTGTGGACGCTCTCTTGTGCAAGAACTTTTGGCGGAAAAAATCTCTTCCACAAAAAGGTTTTTGCACAAGAAGCCTGCAATGTAAACGTAGCCATAGTCTCCTCAGCTGCTGGGACTAGCTTCATAGGTAGCTAACTCAGACACCATTTTTCCAATTGGAAGAGATTAGATTGTCTTTTCCAGTCCCATTTCCAAAAAGACTGTTAAGGAACGGCAGTAACTGGTTCCAAAGGCTTCCATTAATTTTTGGGAAAGTTCCCTAACTAAATAGTAAGAGTCTCCACAAACTTCAACTTCTCATCCAGAGAATCTGACATAGGTCTCTTGAAGTTTAAATTCAAAACATAAAAACATTATTCCCCTTATTGAGAAGCATGGTTTGGAGTAAAGCAAAGACTACCTTAGGAACTGTTATCAACGAGTAGCACTGAATGTAGGGGAAAAAAGAAAAGCAAGGGGATACAGCCTCAAAGGTGGTGGGCCAGGGCTGTGCAGAGTGGGAGGAGTATCCAGGTAACTCAGGCCATTCATGTGGGACCATAAATTATGTACTGCAGAGAGCAGTGAAAACAAAATGGTTTTGCAGGGGCACACTGCAAAGGAACTCACTTGTGCAGAGGGAGACAGCAGCTGTGTGTGAGGCCCACAGAGGACCGATATAAATTCTTGTCCCTATCCATATCAGTAGCTATTATAGAGGATACAGATTTCTGGAAAACACTGGGAATGTTAAACAAAAACCCACCATTTTAATTGCAGATTATTTGAATGCTCAGTTCTTACCTCATTTCTTTTCTTTCCTTTTTCCATTCCTGTAAAATCATCTGTGACTCTGGATCTCGGTGAACCTGAAATATAAGTGTGGTCAACAAGTAACAAAGCATGTACTTGCAGACTATGAGTTCATTAAGTGGGGGGCAAAGGGGAGTCTTATTTGTTGCTGGAACAAAAAAAAAATGCTGCTTAAAAAAGGTAATGCCAGTGCATTGCTTATGAGCACTGAAAAAAAAAATCTGAAGAGTCAAAAATTAAGAGTGCTCTTATAAACTGAAGGGCTATGGAGAAAACTGCATTATTCCCTACTCAGCACCATAAAATGGAGCCCTTGATACAGGTTTAGCATATTTTCTGTTACCATCAATATCTAAAGAGGAGTTTTGCTGATTAAAACAAAAATATTTTCTTTTTGTTTCAGTGCAGGGGTGTAGAGTTTGTGCGCAAACCAGCTTAACAAATACACTGCAATTGCAGGAATGATTTATCTACAATCAGATTTGAAAGCTTTAACGTAACTAAATTAAAGTCAGAGTGGAGACACATGTAAGGTCATTAATTCAAACTCTGGAAGAGTTGGCGGAATCCCCTCTGCTAAATAAAAGCTATTACAAAATAACAGACAAAAAGCCATACAGGCACAACAAACCTGCATATGTTCCAATAATCCAGTCAGGGTCTGTAGCCAAGTCATGGTTTGAATGTACTGCTCTGTGTTCATGATTTTAATCTCAGATCGTAACTCAGGGATAATTGCACCTGTGCGCCAACCATGCTTCAGGGTCAAATCCTATTTACCAACAAGAATTGCAAAAAGCAAGTTTAAGCCTTAAGAGAATGGAGATTTACTTCTTTGCCATTCTTTAGCTCAAAAAGGGTTGTTAATTAAATTACTACTTATGTGTAAGCAAAAGCATTAAACACAGTGGTTCGACTGTGCCGACCTGCAAAGAAGCTTAATTTTAGAATAAGCTTCAAATCCAAATTTAGGGAGCAGATTCAGGTGACACAATGGGAATGGATTCTGGCCAATAGGAAATTTCCCTTGCACAAGGAAACTCTGCAAAGATAAAGCTGAAGGAGGGATAAGAGAAGAGAGGGGAACATGAGCGCATAGAAGGCAGCATTCCACTAACCAAGCCAAGCCTTCAGGGCTATAAGGGATGTTACAGGTCCCCAGCTACTAAAACCACTGCCAATGCGGACAGGAGCTGGAACAGGAACAGCAACCAGTTCCCTGCACTCTCTTCACCACTGCACCTAAGTGGAAGATGACTGGCCTTTTCTTTCATGGGCCCCAATTCCACAAAATGTGTGCGCATTTAACTATTTTGCTGACCTGGGACCCTCATGCCCAGACAGAATGGGGAATCCTGAACTTTAGCTGTAACATGGCATCATGAAACAGAAGACATGGAGAACCACTGCTGTAAGGGAAGTCACATGAGGCAAAAATCAGAAGACAATTAAAACGCTAAAGCAGTGGTTTTTAAACAGAGCTAACATTTTCATGGTTTCATTTAACACAGAGCTAACATGGTTTCATTTGTGTAGCACAATATGAGAAAAAGGCAGAGGCTTTGTGGCTATAATCGACAGCATAAGATAAAACTAGATGATGTAAACAGAGCAATTCAAAATAGAAGTTCATTCATCCCCTATTACAATTGGTTGTAAAAGTCATCCAAACCAGTGATATGCAGCACTTCAGGGTATCTACATTAAATTCTCTGTTACATATGACACAAACAGTGCCTGTCTCAAGTATGTATGCTTACATGGATGTTCTTAATTTGTAAACTAGCTAAAAGCTGCAGGCATTGGGGAAGAGGGGAAAGCAGGATTATGATGATCATCCTTCTCAGGTAATTATTTTTACTATTCTAAATTTTATTAGGTATGTCAATGTGTAGTCGAGTACACGATTAACCAACGAGCTGAGGCTTATCGATAAATCTTAACTACATACATCCCCTGCCTCCTGCTGCCTCCGTATCAGAGGTAGCAAGAGGAGGGAGTGGGAGCCAGTGCTATGGGGAGCCAACTTTTAATCCAGATCCCTGTGCATATCAGCTCACACAAGCCACCTGCCCCACCCCATGCTGCTAGGGTTGCCAGTTTAACCAAAAATACTCAATACCCCACGCCCCCGCGCGCGCGCGCACACACCCACACACCCACACACACACACCACCACCAGGAAAAAAATGTTGGGAAGAGAAAAAAAAAAAAAAGGAGAGGGAGACCAAAGTTGTTGAGGAAAGAGGAAAAAGAGGGGAAAAAAAACAAAAAAACAAGATTTGTTAAGCCTCCCTGAACCAAGCCGGACAGCTCCCTTGCAGAACCCAGTAAGAGGAGGAAAAAAAAAAAAATCAGCACACACCAGACATTTTAGATGTCCAGTATATTCTGAATTTTACCACCGGACAGGAGGCGAAAGTACCAGCCTGGCCTGTTCAATACCGGACACCTGGCAACCCTACATCCCTATCAGAGGCAGCAGCATGGAGGTGGGGGTAGAGAACAGATGGGAGATATGCATGGGGAGCTGGCTTTTAAGGCAGGGGAGGCTGCATCCGTGGGATTCAGGTGCAGCATCTGTCTGTGGGGAACTTGGAGTGCTGCGGCCTCTGTATCAGAGTGGGGCTGGGAGCACACTGGCTGCTGGCCCCGCCCCTCCGGGGCCGTCAAAAAGTTGTGTAATGGATAATATTTTGTGCAGTTATACTGCAATTCAATTCATCGCTATCTAACCTCCCTAATTTTTATTACAGGAATGTAGTTTGATTTTGTTTATTTCTATAAGCCTAGCAGTTTTAAAATGTAATACAGATTGGACCTCCCTGGTCTAGCACCATCAGGACCTGACTGGTCCCGAATGAAACAATTTGTCAGACCGGGGAGGTCCCTTGCCACCGGCCCCCAAGCCCATCGCCTGCTGCCGCCAATTTGGTTGGGCTGCTTGCCCAGCTGCTGCTGGCTCCCTGAGTGGCACAGGCACTGGCTCCTGCCGTGGGGCTCCAGCCCCACTTCCCCATGGGCTGTCGGGGGACACTCTGTCCCTGGCCCTGCGCTGCTGGGATACTCTGGCCCTGGTCCTGCGCTGCCAACCCTGTTGGCTCCCAGCCTTGGCTGGCCCTCTTGTCCTTACGTTCCCGGGCTCTCTAGTCTGGGAGCATCCGTGGTCCAGAAGAACCATGGATGTTACCAGACGAGAGCATCCAGATCACAGATGTTACCAGACGAGAGTGTGCTGGTTTTCAGAAGTACAACCTGTATTTAGAAACATCATGTCTGTAATATTAACTGGCTTCTCAAATCTAGAAAAAAAGGGTGCTAGCTTCTATTGAGCTCTATAAAGGAAAAAGAAACATAATTACTTACTGCTAGATCACTATAAATGTGGTCACCAAAGTACAGAACTTTGGAACCCCTCCATCCAGTAAGCTTTAGAAATTCATATAAGTTACCCTGCAGAAGGAAAATAAAAAAAAAAACCAGCAAAATGTGTGTGCACTAAAGTATATACAACCTTAATGTTAAAGAACAGAGGAAAATATGGCAAGTTTAAAAACAAAACCAATATTTATTATAATATGAAAATATTTTTTTTAAAAAGTCACACTCTCAATCATTAAATACTATTAGATCTTAAAATTATACAAGCCATTTTTGTTATAATGCAAGATTTAATCACACTTACAATAAACATGACCTAGTATGCTGAAAGTTTACAACTCCAATAATGGAGTTTATTAAAGTTTATTCATTTACAAATATAATTAGTCTCAGCACATTATACCACTTTTAAAAACTATTACGAAGGCTACAGAAACATAAGATTCTAAGAACTGGATATGAACTCTAGATATGTAACGGAAGGATTATTGGAAGTGTACCTGTTTGTAAATCTGGCCTTTCTGCAATTTATGAATTTTGTCCCAAAGCAACACTCCCCTTTCATTCACCTTCCGAAAAGGTCTAAAACAGCAGAATTGTATAGAATTGTCACACTGTCATAGCAAGGCTACCACTTTAAGAGCTGGGGTGGGGGAGGGTTTAGGGAAATATTAATAACTACCAATTTTTTAAAAATAGGACAATATACACCAAACTTTCTCAAAACCAAAAGTGAGACTCCAAACTTTAGCTGTTGCAGCCAATGTATTTTAATATTATACTGACTTTGGTATACCAAAGTTTAAGAAAATGTTCTCAGTAAAACATTTATTGTTTGCTTTCACCTGCATTTTATGAGCATTCAGTGTTAAGACCCAAAATCTGCCTTCCTGTTCAGGGGGTGGCACTGTCCTACTGGTAAAGTAGGTTGAGGTGCAAAGAGAATAAAAATTAAGAAGGAAAGAGGGGAAGATTATATGTTTTATACACACAAAGCAAAAGGAATATCTAGAACTAATTCTTTTACTTTTTTATTTAATTAAGAGGAGTAGAATAATTAAGAACATCACAGCAAGGGTAGAAAACTCCCTCCAAATTATACAAAAGCATAAAGTAACTAGTCTTTTTAAAAGACAAACAGGAACATATGCATATAGACAGCACAGTCTAAATTATTTGATTCAGTAAGAGTCAGTCCAGGGACTCCAGACAAATCAGTTTGGGTACGTCTACACAGCAGGGCTAAAGTCGAAATAAGCTACGCAACTTCAGCTACATCAATTGTGTAGCTGAAGTCAAAATACAGACCGTCTCCGACTTATGAACGGGTTACGTTCCTAACACCTGGTCGTAACTCGATTTGGTTGTAAGTCGGAAATACCCTTAAATGCGCTGCCCATGCTGTTCAAAAAAACTTGACAAACATGGTGCTCAACTCGAAAATGTTATAATGGGGTTAATGGGAGGTTGGTTGTAAGTACGGATGGTCGTAATTCGGTGTATTCGTAAGTCAGGGAGTGGCTGTAGTTTAAACTGGCTTTTGGCACGGTCTACACAGCAGGAAGTCTAAGTAAGAACACTCTTCCTTCGACTTCCCTTACTCTTCTAAAATGACCGTTACCATGAGTCGGAGTAAGTAGTCCTCCAACTCGACATTATTTCAAAAGAAAGGCGCATAGTGTAGACACACTCTTTGTTATTTCAGAACAACATCAGTTATTCTGAAATAACACTGCTGTGTAGACATACCCTTTGTTCTTATATGCCTCTCACCTAATGCAAGACAGGTCAGTAAGAATGCCTCCAAACTCAAGGCCCAATCCGGTAAGGTGCTAAGCCCTTTTGACTTGGAAAACAAGAGCACTCAAACACATTGTAAAACCAAGTGATAATGGAAAAGTCCTGCTACCTGTACACCGGGGGTGGGGAACCTCAGGCCTGGGGGCCAGATTCGACCCCCAGCTTGCCTGGATCCAGCCACCAGGGCTCAGGACTCCCTCCCTAGCATTGGGGAACGTGCGCTGGCATTCCAGCCTGCTCCCACCCCATGCTGCCCCACCCCAGGGATTGAGTACAGTCTACTAGGCTGGGGCGCCTAGGCTCTGGAGTCTCTCTCTCTCTGTTGGGGGCTACGTCAGTGGGGGGGGGGGTTTGCTTCTCATGTGTGTGCAGCCCCCAACTGATTTTTATTTTCTGTGGGTCAGCGGCCCCCAACCCAAAAAAGGTTCCCAACCCCTGCCTTACACAGTCCAGCAATCCCACACAAAATACTGGAGCTAACTACTCCCAACACTATCAGCTGTTATTTCAGGATCCAGGGTTGTAATCCTGCATTAGTTCATGACCATATAAACAGGTTTCAAATGCAATTTCATCTGTATATTACAGATGATTTAAAATATTTCATAATATGTTATATAATCTTACATGGAGTCAATTCCTTGAGCCAGGCTATATTAAAAGGAGACCCACCTTCTTTTATCATTGAAGAAGTTTGGCTTGTCAGCCTGTACAATGACTACATCAAAGAGGTCCCTCCAATCCTTTCCAACGATAAATTTCATACCTTTGTCCCTAGAGAACAAACAGCAGCATTAGCAATGATCTATGGCAGCAGTGAGCTGACAAAACAATAAAACTACCCTGATTTTAAAACGTTTTACAAGTATGGTTACATGGTAAATGGCAGGAAACTTACACAAAGCTACTGGGACTGTTTGTGATGAGAAACATCTTCTTGCCATGATCAGCCAGCTTTCCTAACACTGCACGGGTCTGCTCAGCATAGCAGATGTACTTCTCTAGGGAAAATGTTAATTTCAATTTTATGCTGAACACCAATTTTAAGAGAATACTTTGCTACTTTCACTAGGAAAAAAAAATCCAGAACTTGTGATGAGTGCAGGACATACTTAATGAAGAAAATCCAAGGGAGACATGTGAAGCTGAAGATATCCCCCCACCTCAAGATTTTTAGTTATAAAGAACGTGAGAAAGAAACAAAATCATGGAGGAAAAAAAAAAGTTATCCTTACATGCAATCTCACTACTACTTACCAATATCTGCTTCAATTGCTTGGTACATTATGCCTTTGATGTGGACATCTCTGATTGAATCCTGTCAGAGATCAAGATAAACATTTCGTATTTATAAATGCTATTTCAAATATGAAAATCTACATATTGCTTTGATTGCAATCAACTTATGTATGCTCTTTATTTCCCCTAAAAACAATGTTACCATGCAATCTTCACTATGTGTAAATTGCTACTTCACTAAGACCACTTCTATGCTTCCCTGCAGATTGATGCTCTGCAAATCAATCTTCTGGTGTTCAATTTAGCAAGTTTAGTGAAAACCTGCTAAATAGAATGGCGAGGACGTCCCCGTCAGCGCTGGCACTCCTACTCCTCAACAAGCAGTAAGGGAAGTTGGCAGGAGCATTTCTCCCATTGACCTCACGCTGTGGGGACAGTGCCAAATTTGAATCAAGGTAGATCAACTCCAGCTACACAATTAAAATAGCTGGAGTTGTGTTCCTTGATTTAAACACGTCCTCTGGTGTAGACTTGGCCTAAGAATAAGATTATACTCTGAGGTTGGGATGTTAAAATGCTTTTATTTAGGTAAACATGTAACCGCTGAAAATGTCAATGGTTACACATTTACATGTGGGGGGAGGGGAAGCTGGCTCCGTGCGAGCACTGGCTCCCACCTGCCCCCTCCTCCAGCACTGCTTGCTTCTGTATCAGAGACAGCAGCATGGCAGGTGGGGGAGCCGGCTCCGTGGGAGCTGATATACATAGGGAGCCAGCTTAAAAACGGGCTTTCCCAGTGGAGGGAAGTGGGCCGCATGAAACTGAAGGTTAACGGATGAGCCCAGGCTCATTTCAGCAGTTTACATTTAATAAACACATTGTAATATCCCTAGTACCTTGAACTGAACTTTGGTGCCGTCCCCACAGCAGGAGGTTGACTGGAGAAATGCTCCTGTCTACTTCCCTTACTCATAAGGAGTAGGAATACTAGCACCAATGGGAGCACCCTCAGCATTTGATTTAGTGGGTCCTTACTAGACTCCCTAAATTGAACACCGAAAGATCCATCTCCAGAGCATCAGTCTGCAGGTAGGTATAGACATGGCCCAAGATAGGATCATTTTCATACTTCCCAGAAGTTGAGACCTTAGTGCAACAGAAGCCTTACATAACTGCGGATTGCAATACAGCATCTTTCAGGGTAATGTGGACCTGGGGCCCTGAGTGGTGTGCAAGGCACAGCAGATTTCTGTTGACCTGCAATGTGATATGCATTCCTTTCTTCCTGAGGAAACTGAAATCTTCTAGTTCCTCAGATTAGGATCAGTCCCAACTAACTTGTAATTAAATGAGAGATTTATGAGCCAATGAAAGAAGCTAAAAGTTTAAGTAAAGAAACAAAAAAGAAGTCTGAAGTTATTTGGCTACTTTCCTTAGCTTGAGCTATACCAGAGCCTTCCTGGTGGGACCGTGTTACTGCCACTATGTGCTATCTAAAATAAAGTGGATTTTTAGAAGGGAGATGAAGTAAATATTTCTACATGCTAAAGCGGAAGCTGGAGAATTGGAGGTTTTGGGAAACCTTCAGGACGTCTCAAAATAGATGGAAGCCTGATAATGCCAAAAAAATTTAATGTGAGCTACAGAGTTTGTTAAAAATGTTTCTTGTCTAATGGGGAAAGGTGACAATGTACTTTTAGATACACCACACATAAACATGACACAACATCACAGTTGTAGATTTCAGGTAAAAATCTGTGCTACTGGACCACAACTGTAATACTGGACTAGATACAAGAATACAAAATTACAAAACTAAATTTTTTTAGATTTTAAAAATTTAAGTAGGTTAGAGATGGTCAGGCCCACCGACAGGGTAAAGATGGCAACTGCCTTGGGGCCCCGTAATTCAAAAGGGCCTGTGGCTCTGGCTGCCTAAATCACTGATGGAGCCCCACGCAGCATGCTCTGGACAGCTCTGAGGGCTGGCGGAGCTGGCACGCTCTGGACAGCATTGAGGGCTGGCTGCCTCCAACCCCACTACTTGTGCCCAAGGCCCCATACTTCCTAGCCCACATACACGCAGATGGCAGAATCACCATCAAACTGTTCCACATAGGAGAGGCTCAGGACTTGCTTGGTCCTACATTATATCACGGCCTCTCTCTTTTCTTTCTAAGAAAAAAATGTTAGATGCCTCACTAGAACTCAGGAAAGCAGAGTTGCTCAACAGTCTGCTATTCGAGGATACCCCCAAAAAATGAAGACTGTGCACATGGACACTTTATATTGAATTCTCATTGACTCTTCCATTCCTTGTTGGTAGAATATCTAATAGCATAGTCTCATAGGCTGATCCAGCAAAATATTTTCACATGGAAGTGAAACTTATTTCTACATCCTTTCCCATTCTCCTCTCAACCCAGATATACAGACACACCCTCCAAAATATACTAGAATTCTAATAAAAGGTGTCTAAACATTTTCAAGGATTTTTAAGTTCTTCCATCTTTTTCCATAGGTTTTTGCAGTTCTTATTGTAAATGCACTAATCTGTAAAACTGGAGCATCATAAAAAGCTGGAGATTTTTTTCTTTGAGTTGTCATAAAAGAAAAGCAAAATTATGGAGGTGCCCATAAAGTGAATACCTTGACATCTTTGTACAAATGAACAGGTTCGTAATCTATGTTGTTCTTCAGAAAATATTCATTCACACAAGAAAGGAGAGTCATCTCTGGTAATGAAAATATATCCATGAACTGTTTCATTGTGCTTCCATGTGAACTCTGCAAATAAGGACATGTGTCAGCATAAAAAAAATTGGCAATGAATCTGGCTCTATTCGATTTATAGCACTTAGTTTTGGTAAGTATTTCTATCTGTATTTTACTGCTGCCGAATTTGGTTTGCACTAATAAAAGGGGAAACCCCGCACATCAATAAGATAAATTAAAAGCAGAATACTTCTAACTTTAAGGACCAGTAATTCCATTTAGGAATAGCACCACGTGTTTACAAGCTTGGTGCTTATTTAAATAATCGTGTCATATGATGCCTCCCAGACCCCTTTGTCTAGAATTTTGCAGTCTGTTTCTCCTATATATTGAAAAGGCTAAAGACAACTAGGCTACGTCTACACTGGCCCCTTTTCCGGAAGGGGCATGTAAATTTCATGAGTCGTAGTAGGGAAATGCGCGGGGGATTTAAATATCCCCCGCGGCATTTAAATAAAAATGTCCGCCGCTTTTTTCCGGCTTTTAAAAAAGCCGGAAAAGAGCGTCTACACTGGCCCCGATCCTCCGGAAAAAGTGCCCTTTTCCGGAGGATCTTATTCCTACTCCAAAATATTCTTCTTCTTCTAAGTGGTTCTTGAAGATAGGTGGTAAAGAAAAAAAAAGATTATAAACAAAAAGCCAAGAGCCTATTATTATAGGACATAAAAGCTAAATGCAATTAAAAATCTCCCTACTTGATAAAACAGAATACAGAAGTAAATAAACCCAACTGCTCCCAAAAGGGCCACGCACAGAGAGAAAATAAGCATGTTTTGCTTGGAGTTGCATGCAAGCTAACCCCAGAAGAATAAACAGCTCCTTTGAGACTACAACAATGCCATGAAAGATGTAAAACAAAACATTCAGGTCTTGCTTCTTCACTACCAGAGTTGAGAGAGTCTAGTTTTTAATTCCTTGGGCTGAGAGAAAACAGGAGCACAGAGGAAGAATACTCAGCACCAAGAAGTTGGGGGGAGAAATACCTCACACTCCTCTACAGCGCTTTGTGGTTACTCATGGGCCCCTAAAGGCATCAACAGTGGCTTTGTGCCAAACAAGAAGGTGACAGACCCACCAGAGAGAGCACCAATATTATCCTTAATGTAAAATTTAAGTTGAAACCTTCCTCTTGGCTATTAGTGGCCTCCATACCAGTCTAACTAGCAAACAAGTCTTTGCACCATGAGCTAAACCTTCATGCCAACCAGAAAGAAGGATGGTCTTACAGTTAAGGTACAAAAAGAGAACTTTAGAATATTGAGAGGGGCGAGTTCCAGCACTGCCATACACTTCCTGAGAGACACTGGTCAACTCACTTAATCTTTCTAGGCCTCTCGTCCCCATCTGTAAAATGAGAACTATAAACTTTTCTCCTACTCCTTGTCTTGTCTATGTCAATTGCAATCCCTTCAAAGAAGGGACTGTCTGTTAACTATGTGTTCGTATTGCACCCTCAACAATGGGGCCCACAGGCACCAATGTAACATATATTTTGAAAACATAACATTAGTCAGTAGCATATATGGGGTTTCAGTTAGTAAGTTTTAAAAAACAGAAATAGTTACCTTTCCATAAAAGTCACTCATTTGTTCCAAGGGGACATGGGAACCATCATACATTGCAATGACTTCTTCATCTGGGACAACACTGAGTCCTCTGGCAATATCAATATTAGTTTCAGGTTAAAAGACCAACCAGAAATGTCAAGGTAATTACTTTATGAAAGCCAGGCTGCATATACAGAGTAAGGTCCTGAACTACTTAAAATACCACCACCACACAATCAGATGGTTTCCCATAAGAAAACACTTTGGTCTTCAATTTAAGTAAGACTGTCTTGTTAACTCCCCAAACAAGTAACACTGCAACAAACTGACACACATGAAACCCATTCTAGTTTCACCAAGTTTTTTGTTTCATCAGAAAACTAACCTCCAGGGCTTGTACAAAGCAGTTACAGTGTCTAGTTTCTCAATAAAGTGTAATTCCCTCTCTGCTTGTGTTTCATGAGGTACAGATGATGCAATAGTGTTTAACCAGATTATTCTGCAATGTGACCTTGAAGAACTGAGGCCAAAAAAAAAAATGCAACCTTCTTAACTAAAGTAATAACCAGATTTCTTTTTAACCCTAATATAGTTAAGTCTCATTGAGTTGAAGTTATAATGAACTGTGATAAACACATTAGATACAAAAAAGAAAGTCTAAATTTGTCCAAGCTATTATATAGCTCTATTTCTCTACCACTATCACTTAAAGTATCGAACACCTTTTATGAACATCTGAGTACTTCAGACATATTAGTAAACTTACAACACACACACACACACACACACACACACACACACACAACCCCATAGGAAGAAGTAGTGAGAAGATTAAAAAAGTCTTGTGGTTAAAAAAAAAAAATCAGAATGAAAACCAGGAAATCTAATCTGGATCTGCCACAGATTTATTGTAGTACCCAATGTAAGTAAAGTGAATTCTGCACCTCAGCTTCCTGTTTTAACCTACCTGAGTGATAAACACTGGATTTTAAAAACCAATAGGAGATTCTAAAAGCATTTGAAATAGAAAATATAAGAAATGTGAAGTATTCTTTGTCCTCATCCATTTTACAGTATGGATAATCAAACAGAAACAAAGACGTTAAACTATTTGCCTAAGGTGTAGTAATTCAGTAACAGAGCAAAGAACAGAATTCATTATTCATGTTCTAATTTCCAGACAAGCCTGGCTGGAGTGTCACTAAACAGAGTGTTTGTGAATCATGAGATAATTAATTACAAACCTACCTGTAGACAATAGGTACTTGTTAAGTGCATGTTTGAAAATACTCATTATACCATGTTGACAGCACAAAAGAGCATGCTCAATTATGAGTGCAGAAGAAAAGGTTAAGATTAGCTTTGCCAAAGGGATCTATTTTATCACCACAGTTCTCAGATCAGCTGTGTACTTACAGGGTTTCTTTTGCCCTGTTTTCAGAGTAAGGTACAACAGTCACCATGGCTAACCTACGCTCCTGCTGGTGTGCTACAGGACAGTGGGAATAAGCTTTTGGTAGAATGACACCAACATGAGTACTGCAGAAAATCCTCATGCAGACAAGGCTCAAAGATAGCAAAGGGTATGTTTAACTCTGAGTAAACGTATTAATTTATATAAATATGAAAACTGCATGTGAGATGGTGATGCACTGCACAGTTACGTGATCAATGAAATTACAATGAACCTTTAATCACTTCATCTAGCCTCTAATCAATCCAATCAGCATTTACACCAATAGTCAAAACCTCTGGAAAGTTCTATACAACTACCTTTTAAAAAAAATTAAAAGGCAATAAAATAAACCTGTCAGAAACGTATCTCCTCCTTCTCTCTCTAGAAGACACCACATGATCCAGATGAAGCAAGATCCTGGGCAAGTGTATTTTTTCTAATACACAGAAGTGTTACAACTAAGATCTGTTATCCCGCTGCATTGCTGGAATAGATTTGGGAGCCTCAAATCCCCAGCTTTAGTTCATTGCACAAAAGGTCCTTAGTTTTGTTTATGTACCTTCCTAGGGAGGAGTTTCCTCAACCGCCCAGTGGGAAGCTGCAGTTATAAAAGGCACCCCAAGATAGGTTACGAGGTTCTGCGGAATAATAGATAACAACTCTCACACACACTGAACATGTGAGGGTGTGGTTAAAAGGTTTTGTTGGCCCTCCGATAACTAACACACATTGATTGGCTATTTCGAGTATAAGGATGACTCCATTAAAGCCTTTATATTATACCACACTGGGAATGTTAAATTTAGTTTAATCAACTAGTTGATGGATATTCCATCAACTAATCGATTGGTCGATAAGCAGGGAGCCCCAGCAGGGTTAGCTCCCGATCTGAGAGCTAATCCCAGTGTAGCTCTGCCTTTGAAATGGATTAAAAGCCAGCAGGAGGAACCCAGCATGAGCCAGGAATCAGCTGTACCAGTTCATGCTGGGTCCCCCCCTCATTGCACTTTAGCCTTTTAAATGTATTAAGAGCCTGTCAACTCTTAATACATTTAAAAAGCAGAGGCGTGTCTGGAACTAGATGCGACTGGGAATGAGCTGATTCCCGGCTTACACCCAGTACCCACTACCCCGCCTATCCTGCCCCCCACGGAGATGGTGCTGAGGGGGGAGGGAGGAGACCAGCTTTTAAGCCAGCTCCCCTCAGCACCGGCTCCCCTCAGCACCGGCTCCTGCTCACCCACCTTGCTGCCTCTGATAGACACAGCGGGGGGACGGGGAGGGGAATGAAAGAGAGAAAAGTGACTAGTCGACTAATCCCTTGACTAGCCAATAAGCTTTTGCTTATCGGATAATCGACTAGTCACTTACATCCCTACACCACACCGCCTTCTATTTTCTCATATTTTTGAGAGACTCTACCATAAATAGGCATACTGGGTCAGACCAACAGGCTGTCGAGCCCAGTAGCCTTCCTCAACAGAGGTCAGTAACATACCTTCCAGGACGTGTACAGAACAGGACACTTGGAATGATCCACCCCTGTCTTCACCTTTCAGCCTCTCTAAGGGAGTCATCTATTAAGAGTACTACAATAACCTATCTACCAAGTATCTCATTAACTGACACAAACATACAGAGAGAAGCTCTGAAGCTAAAATATGAATTAACATTCACAGATTTTTTTTTTCCTTAAGCAGGAATATTTGATGGTTCACATTCCAATACAATGTTTTTTTCCACCCTGTGCTACTTTGGGAACATAATCTTAACTTTTTTTTTGTCAAATTACCCATATCATAATAGAGAGAGCCTCCTCCCTCACTTGAGATTGCAATGTCTCTGCTGCAACTACTCACACAGAAAGCTAATACTGAAGAAGCATTCAGTGTATTTTTAGCCGTCTTTCAATAAATTTAGCAGCTGGGGACAAGGTGCAGAGTCAGCACTATGTGACCAGTCAGCTCTCCCTAGAGAATCACTTCTTTTGGTTCAACTAGTAATGAGCACACTAGTGTATCCATGCTTTCCAGTAGTAGACTATACAACATACACTGAGCTACTTTGCAGCTAGCCTGACACTTCAATGTACTTTAAGAAGAGCATTCCCTGGATTCAGAAACAGAACTGTATTTTATATGAACTAAGCAATAATTCAACCTACCTGTACACTGTTCCCAATTGAATATAGTGAAAAGCATCAATCTTCATCAATAATGCCTTGGGAAAAAAATTCAGACAAATTACATTTCATAAAAGCAGTTTAATATGTAGTTATAAAAGCAATAATTATTGTATCTGTCACAAATACAACTTTCTTGCTCGGAAATGGATCATTTGAATTGAAATAGACACAAAGTCTTTGTGACACTGCGCCCCATATTCTTTATGGAATTACGTTCATTAATATGCATAATTGGAAGATGCTTTATGCAAAATACATCTTGTCAGAAAACTTATAATCTGCTGAATGTGCAGGGTGTGTGATTCCTCTGTTCCACATTAGGAATATGAAGTGTAAACCCGTTTAATAATCTAGATGTATTAAGAGAGGACCATTAGTACTCAAGGAGTTTAGTGGCTCAGTACCCAGGACAACGATCTGTGAATAGTTTTCCTTTTCCTGTAAACCTGGACTACGGTTGGTCCTGCCAAGACATGTGACCTGTTGCTGGAACCCATTTTAGAGGCTGTACTTTTCCATGGGTGTGTGGAAAGTTTAAACTGAACACAAAGGATTCCCACCTTTGGCACTAGGGATATAAAGGTGGGAAACCAAACAATAGGGGCTGCTGCCAGATGCCAGGACACCCCTGCTTATCACCCACAATGACTGCTGGAAACATCTCAGACTGAACGGAGGGAAGGATTAGCACCAAGTTGGGAGGCTTCCCGGCTTGTGAGAAAAGAGAATTAGAACTACTGCTAGGGTTGGAAGTTGTATGCAACAAGTTTTTTTAGAGTCTTAAGTCCAGAGGGCAGGCAGGCAAGCTCGCTCAGTGGTACTTCAGCACATCAAGTGACAACCTCAAAGGGCTCCCTGTGACCCAACCCATCACAGCGGTTTGTGAAGAGCAACAGAGTACTTTCTCAAAAGAATTGTATTCCAAGCTTGTAAAAGGCAGTAGAAACTTAACTTTTAAATGACACAGGATTACAATCAAAGCTGAGGACTCCAGTTCTACTCAGCACACCCCTGCTGGAGAGCCGAAAGCTGGGTGGAGTGAGACCCACCCAGTCTGAGCTGCTCCATCTCCAGCAGGGACAGGGCCCCACAGGGCCAGCAAGGGCCAGGAGCATTGCATGCGAGTGAGCTGAGGGAGCCAGGCAAGGCTGGGAACAGAGTGTGGAGAGATATCTGGAGGAAGGAATTGAGCTCAGGAAGTAGCGCCGGGCACAAGATTTGAGGGAGCGGCAGGGAGGAAGAACCAGACTGGAGGAAAGTAAGAGCAGGGAGGTTCATTGTCTGGCTCAGTGAGCTAGCAGCAAATGAACATGCTAGGACCTCTTGGGAAGCAAGCTGGTGCCCCTGGGGGAGAGCAGCTGTTCCCGGCTGCTCCACGCTGCACCTGCCCCTCTTCTGCCCACGTGCCCTATCCTGTCAGCAACTTCCTGAAATCTCTCTAGTCTCCTTTTCACTCTGCCTTCCTCTTCTCTGATATTCAAGCCCTGAGGCCAAGGATCCCTTTTGGACTTTTTCCTCTCCTGCCTTCCACAGTAGAGATGGGCTGGGAGGAGACAGAGGTGTGTGTACACACACACACACACACACACACACACACACACACACACACACACAGTTTGGCTGGGGAGGAAGGAAATAAAGTAAAATAAAAGGTGAGGTTCATTTCTGCCCATGATTAACAATACGCCTGTGTCATCAGGAAATTCACACTAAAACAAAAGATCAGGGGAATGTACTTGGACCAGAAAAACAGCAATCAGGGCTGCAGAATGCAAGGGAGTCAGCAACTTGGTATCTGGGGAAGAAGTTGGACTTGCTCATGACAAGGCTTGAGTAGCTGAAAACTTTTATTTAGAGAAAAGAGACTTTTCCCCCCTTGTGGATCCAGGGGTGTCCAGGTCTGTCTCTCCAGCTGGCAGCATTTTGAATAAGAGAGAGAGAGAGAGAGAGAGTTCTAAACAATGTAGAGTGGGACTCTAAAGGTCCCTTCAAAAACGCAGCATTTTTCCTTGCCTCCCCATACCCCCAAAAAAATCTTTAAAACTACCTTTAAAAAGGGAGAGAGCCACTGCTGCTCAAATGAGGCTTTGGTTGGCTTATGGCTCCAGCCCCAAGGTTAAGGCATCATTGAAAGAGTGACACCCAGTACAATCTCACTGAGCTGTCTGGGGCAACCAGGTGTGTCAATCAAGGACAAAAAAAGCCTGGTACCTGAACAGAATTCCTTTTCTTATGCTTTTCAGGCTTAGGCAAAGGCTATTTGGGAAGTGAGCAGGGCAGGCTGAGGGCTGGACTTAGTCATTGGTATGAGCCATTTCTTTTTTGTCATTCAAATTTTGGATCATGGCTGATACCCCAGCCATCATCTAAAGCACTTCCCTGTGGCCTTCTGACATGCACACAGAGGTACCTCACTGCCAAGTCCCTATCCTAGCAGGGGAGGAAAGGGGAGCACTGTAGTATAATGTCCCACCTCCATGCCGCCAGTGGCTCATGTTTGCCACTGCCATGCTGGAGCCTCCACATTTATTTATTGACAAATAAAATGTACACAATGTTAAAATATCATGCAAGAATTTCTGGTGCTGAATGCCCTCAGGAATGAGGTGCTGGGCAGCTGTGGAGGGTTGTGAGGGGCATTGAGCAGTATGTGGCGGTCTGTGGTGGAAATCTCTGGGTGAGGCACGAGGAGCCATTGGCCTAAGGGGTTGGGTGGTACAGGCAGGGAGGCAGTGTGGTAGGCACACTGGTAGCACAGTTGGGAGGGAAGTGCAGGGGTTAGGAGAAGTGTTTGACTTCCCAAGGTTCTTTCTAGTTCTAATAGTCTAAGATTCTACTAAATAACTTTCCCTAATAATACTGGCATTGTATTTATTCTCTTCCAACATGATTTGTTGGAAAAGCTTTGACAAAACTGGTCTTTAAAACATGGGGGAGGGGAGGACCACAAAATGCCTACATGTCAGCATAAACCTTTGATGATGTTTGTAGAATGCAATATTTATTTTCAGAACCTATGTATTCAGCACCATATAACTCACCACATCATTTATACCTACCCGATGCACATCATAATGAAGTCCTCTTATTGCAAAATTGGGATCATAATCATACTTCCTTATTTCTGCAGGATACTAAAAATAAAAAGTAAGGGTCAAGTTAAATTTACAAACCCAAGATTTGTTTTTCTAATTTGAAAAAGCTTTGCTTCACATGTAGACTTTTAATATTCACTGACGTATGCCCTTCAGTATGCTGGTGATGTACATTTGAAAGTGTCTCCAACTCAGATACAAGAATGGGAAGAACACCTGGAAAAAAAATCTAAGTCTCAAATCTTCAAACATGAGTGGCTAAAGTTAGGCATGTAAGGAAAAGTGGCCCCATTTGCAGAGTGGATGCACATGCAGTCACTAACTCCTGTGACGTTTCTAAGTATTCATGACCAGTGCTCTTTGGGCACTGGTGCAGCCACTCAGAAGAGATTCAGCTGTCAGAGCGCTGATTAACAAAGTGCCCACACCTAGGGTTTTGTTATGCAGCAACAGGCCAATGCATCAAAACAAAAGTTTGATTTGAAACATAAGAGATGAAGACACTCAAGACATGTGGCCCGATTCCAAGATTCCATATCTTGTGAAGATCGTTAATATATAAATCAAATCCAATTTGAATTCATCAAAACTTAATTTTTCATTAATTAATCCAGGGTAATCACTATTCATTGAATTTTTACTTTTAAATATAATTTCTAGATTCTATGCTGCCTACATCAGGATTTTCTATTTTTATTTATCTTAGCCAGGATATGTGTTAGGGGCAAAAATAAGCCATCTTTTACATTGATGAAGAGAGGATGATCTTGCCTCTGTTGCCTAAAAAGCTTCAGCTGCAGGATAAGGTCACTACAGCTAGAGAGATACTGGAGAGATTGGTTTTCCCTTGGGTTGAAAAGATATAGTCCTATGGGAAACCATATCTCTCAACAGGTGGCTTCAAGCATTACATCATATTATAAGTGACTAATGCTACCCATAGGGAACTAGTTTCCAATTTCAAGCTTCAACTGGTATTGTGGGTATAATATGTAACACATTTTGATTCTCCTGCCATGTAGAACACTGTAGCAGAGAAGATTCTACAAACATGCAATCCCATTGCTACTGCAATATGTTCATTTCTATGGCAAAAAAAATGATCTCTAATATGATTTGCTAACTTAATCTGCAAAAGTTTCCACAAAAGTTTCCACAAAAAAAAATCTTACAGAATTTTAGGGGCTCTACGTTGTGTGTTTATGGAAAGTTTTAACTTTGTCTGTTAGTCCAGAGATATTTATAGATATTTATATATAGCTGTTAATCTTCGGACTGAAATACAGAATGGAAACACTCGATACAATTTCCATTCAGTCTGCATTAGGGGTTGTAAAATATTCCAAATGGAAATTATTAATTGAATTTGTAAGAGTACTTTAAGTGACTTCTGCTTAAAATACAGCCAACTAAGAATCTTCAGATCAGAAGATGTCTCTCCTAGCTGACAGACAGAAACAAAGAGTGTCTTCCTCCCCATTCCTAGACTGTCTGCATTCTACACAATACTAAAGCTGCACTGAATCAGGAACTTTGTGGTCTGTAAGCAACTGCTGCACAAGATGTTACCAAAAGGGAGTTAAGCTTCTATCAACTAGAAGTTGCTCATAGCATTCCTACAGATGAAGAGGCATACTGTTATTTCATTCATCTTACCCGATGCTCATTAATGAGAAGATCCCGGGCAGCATTATAAATCAAAGTATGCAGATGTTTGGAATAAAAAACCAATGTGTAGTCATAATCAAAGCCATAGATTTCAATATCTGACAGACTCATTTCATTGTTGGAAAAAATAGCATCCGGATTCAGCAAGTTATTCATAATTGAAGGAACCAACTCTGAAGAAAAAAAACAAACACTGAGTGAGCATTCTTCTAGCCTTATACCAAGCATAAAAATCAAACCCTATACCTATACTTTGACATTTATAATTATTTAATTTGTAATGACATGGTTACTGACCCAGTGGATGGGGGCAGGGAGCAAATGTGACATCTTAATCTTAATAAGGATTCTGACAGTTCCACGTGACAAATTAGAGAAATGCAGTATAGATGAAATTACTATCAAACGGTTGCAGTTGAATGACCTGTAGAACTCCTTGCCAAAGGATGTTGTGAAGACAAGGACTTTAACAGGGTTCAAGAACGAACTAAATAAATTCATGAAGGTTAGGTCCATCAATACTTAACCAGAATGGATAGGAATGGTATTCCTAGCCTGTTTGTCAGGGGCTGGAAATGGACAACAGGAGAGGAATCATTTGATGATTACATTCTGTTCACTCCCTCTGGGACATTTGGCATTGGTCACTGTCAGAAGACAGGATATTGTGCTAGATGAACCTTTGGTCTGATCCAATATGACCATTCTTATATTCAAGAGTAATCATCAATTATTTCCTATTAAACCAGGAGGGCAGACATAGTAGTGTCTGATGGTATCTGTTCTGGGTCTGGTACTATTCAATATTTTCATTAATTATTTGAATAATGGAGTGAAGAGTATGTTTATAAAATTTACAGATGACACCAAGCAGGGAGGTGTTAAAATACTTTAAAAAACAAATTCAAAGTGATCTTAACAAAAGGGAGAAATAGTTTGAATTCAACAAGATGAAGGTCAACAAAGGAAAGTGCAAAAATACTTCACTTAAGAAAAATACCAAATGCAAAATGGAGAATTGGTTATGTGTCAGTACTGCTAAAAAGAATCTGAGAGTTAATGGATCACAAATGACAGATGGAATTAAATGCTGGTAAATGCAAAGTCATGCACATTGAAAAAATAATCCAATAAGTACAAAAGGATAGGGTCTAAATCTGATGTTATTTCAAGAAAGATCTTTGAGTAAACAGGAATAGTTCTCTAAAAACCATCTTCTAATGTGTGGCAATAGTCAAAAAAGATAAAGAGAATGTTAGCAACAATTAGGAAAGAGATAATTAACAGAAACTAACTATCATAATGTCACTACATAAACCCATGGCATCTTGAATACTTGTGCGCAGTTCTGATAGACCCATCTGAAAAAGATATATATTAGAATTTGAAAAGGTATCGAAAAAGACAACAAAAATTATTAGAGATATGAAGCAACTTCAGATTAAGATAGATTAAAGAGATTGGGATTGTTCATCTTTAAAAATGACACAGGTGGGATAAGATAGAGGTCTATAAAATGATTTGTAAAGAGAAAGCGAAGGAAGGGTTAACTAACAGAAGTCCATGGCACAAAAGTACAGTGGAATTGACAAACAGCAAGTTTAAAACAAACATAAGTAGGTCTTAAAACACACAGTCAAACTGTGAAATTCATTGCCAGGGAATGTTGTCAAGGCCAACAGTATAACTAGCTCCAGCTGGGACTGGAAAACAGAGAATGGACCACTTGATAATTGCCATGTTCTGTTCATTCCCTCTGAAGCATCAGGCAGAGGCCTTTATCAGAGGACAAGATACTGGGCTAGACAAACCTTAGGTCTGACCCAGTATGGACATTCTTATATTAAATCTCAACCTGGAACAAAGAAAAATGTTGTCTATAATTTTATTAAGATGGTCTGGCTACCCATAATATTAACAAACACGTCTGCTACTACTTTTGAAGGAAAAAAAATGTCATGATACTTGACAGAGTATCGTGAGTACGTTTCATACACAATACATACATTACTGACACCTCCATAAATCTGTTTTCATTTTGCTTTTACCACCA